ATTCTAAGATTTGATTTACATTTCTAATTAAAGTTGTTTTTGATCATACGTATAGATAATTATATTAAAATTCCAAAATTCTAAAATTTCAAATACATACAAAAACAATCATATGTAAATTTTAAATTTGTGAATATTAAAATTTTATATTTTAATTACATATATTCACCCTGCGCAAGGCGCAGGTCTTATCCTAGTAGTTAATTAAACCGCATTACTTAAATTAAACCGATGGTTATCTATGGGATATAGTCTTGGGCTTACTTTTGTTTTTAGGACAAATTATATGGTTTGCTTTTTAGGCTTACTATTAAGGAAAAACTCCAAAAAACATTGAATAAAATTTCTATGTTAATGAATCAAAAAAATCAATTATTATTTTCAGGCCCAAATGTATTTAATATTTTTAACAAAACAAAATTTTCTATTATTAATCATTTATTTAAATCATGTACTTTAAAACATGTTATTGTATTTTTTATTTTAAATAACAATCACTTTTTTGATAAATTTCAATGGTAACTTTTAAATCATTTATTGTTTTTATTTTTCTTAAATAATTTACTGATTGAAAAAAATAAATGTAAAGCAAAACCAAAAACCAATTCTAAAAACTAAAACCCAAAACCAAAAGCTGAAAACGCATTGTTCTGGATAACATATTGTTATAGTTTTTGCTTTTGTTTATTTACAAAATAAACTATTGCAATTTTTTTTTTAAAATTTTTTTGTCATCTTTTCAGTTTTAAATTAGATGCTGATTATTTGAAATTTGTTTATTGGTAATATCAGTTCAAACTAACTCAGCGGATCTAAAAATTAAAAACCGAAACAAAAGCTGAAAATAAAAAATAGAAACTTAAAAACAAAAAACCAAAATCTAAAAATAAAAACTGAAACTAAAAACTAATGAAAAAATCGTCACCACAAATTTTGATAAACTGATTTTATACCAAAACATTCTTTAAATTAAGACATAACCTAATTATATAAATTTTAGTTATAAAAAATTTCCGCGCTTTCAAGCGCGGGTCAAAATCTAGTCTAATCTATTAAAATACAGACATTCTTTTTATCTACTGATACAAGTTGTCATTTAAATTTGGATTATTTCTAGAGTGTTACAAATAATATAAATCTTATAATTGATTGAACCGCATTACTTAAATAACCAACACATATTTTCACATACAAATATGGAATGTTCTAAAAATATATATATTATCAAAATATGGAATATTGAAATCTACTAATTATATTAACGTGGAAATCGTTATATACCATTTAGTATCTTAACAATTCCCTAAAAAAATAGAAATTTAATAATTATATGAAACCAATGGAAATCTACTCTATTAAAATATAGTCTTTCTTTTTATCTACTAATACAAATTGTCATTTAAATTTGGACTCTTTCTAGAGTGTTACAACAAGCCATAGTTAATTGAACCGCATTACTTAAACTAAACCGATGGTTATTTATGGGATATAGTTTTGGGCTTACTTTTGTTTTTAGGACAAATTATATGGTTTGATTTTTAGGTTTACTATTAAGGAAAAACTCCAAAAAACATTGAATAAAATTTCTATCTTAATGGATCAAAAAAATCAATTATTATTTTCACGCCCAAATGTATTTAATATTTTTAACAAAACAAAATTTTCTATTATTAATCATTTATTTAAATCATGTACTTTAAAACATGTTATTGTATTTTTTATTTTAAATAAAAATCACTTTTTTGATAAATTTCAATGGTAACTTTTAAATAATTTGTTTTTTAATTTTTCTTAAATAATTTACTGATTTTAAAAAAATAAATGTAAAGCAAAACCAAAAACCAATTCTAAAAACTAAAACCCAAAACCAAAAGCTGAAAATGCATTGTTCTGGATAACATATTGTTATAGTTTTTGCTTTTGTTTATTTACAAAATAAACTATTGCAAATTGTTTTTTAAAATTTTTTTCTCATCTTTTCAGTTTTAAATTAGATGTTCGATTATTTGAAATTTGTTTGTTGGTAATATCAGTTCAAACTAACTCAGCGGATCTAAAAATTAAAAATCCAAACAAAAGCTGAAAATCAAAAATAGAAACTAAAAACTAAAATCTAAAAATAAAAAATGAAACTAAAAACTAATGAATAAAATCGTCACCATAAATTTTGGTAAACTGATTTTATACCAAAATATTCTTTAAATTAAGACATAACCCAATTATATAAATTTTAGTTATAAAAAATTTCCGCGCTTTCAAGCGCGGGTCAAAATCTAGTAATTAGTTAAGAAACAAGAAAATATATTGGCATAAATCAAAATAAACAGAGAAGAAAATGAATATCCTGGTTTATTGTACATTTAACTACAGACCACGGTTTGATTTTGTACCAAGAACCGGTTGTTTCGGTACGCTTGTACTTATAAATCATAGACATAATATGTAAACCGTAAGCAAACCAAGCTGGTTTCAGAAGTCATCAACCATTAGGTTCAAAGAAAAATTCAGAAACCAGTGCCAAGTGATCGCTTCCCAGTTCCTGTAAAACCAAGAATTAGGCTAATGGGTTAGTAACAAAACCAATTTCACCTGAAATTTCTATGAACGGTTAAATGAAACATACTTGACAAGGAAGGCCTCTGGTTCTGCAGAGGACATCAATGGGAACTGTATCAAGAACTCTTGATGGTACAATACCATTCGAGTACCTGAACCAGACACACATATATGTGTTCCAATTATTTCATCAGCCAACTATTATATACTTGTCAGTTCGAGATTTGGTTTCATTTAGAAATGATTTACCAGAGGTAATCAACCGTTCCAAGAAATTTCGAGTGATACGAGGTTGCTAGAGGTTCACCAACAGAGTCCCTGGTATTTGTTGAACCCTGACCATGATCAATAAAAACTGTTTTATTTTATTTCACTATCTTGTCATGTTGGGCTAATTTAGGTGTGTTATTACCTTAACTGAGGCGTATGAGCTATGGAGTTTCAACGGATGCACAGCCCAGTACGAGTTCTCTTGTCCCGTCGCAAGACGAATCTCTTCGTTGGTCCAAGAGCTACTTAAGCATCTGAAACCAGTTGAGTATGAAAAACTGTTTTAAAACTTCTAATATTCGCAATTATGAGACAGAAACCTCATCTTAGATGAACGTGATCAAAAAATTTAAGAAAATGAGCTTTTACCTGCTTATTGAAGTTACTGTATTACTAGATTTGCTTCCTGACTCAAGAACTTGGTTTGGAAGACGATTTTTCTGGCCAGACAGCTCCCTTTTGTCATGTTTCATTATATTCAGCTGTATGATAGAAATGTTGTCAAGACCAAAGAAACCATATGAATAGTTTGACTGAAGTAAGACTGTTGATGTTGTTCATACCTCGGAGGATGTCAAGAAGTTGTACAATGGACTCTGCACGTCATTAGATTAGATAACATCAAATAATGAGATAAAAAAACAAAAAAAACGAAGTGAAAGCGTTTATTTGAAAAAATGTATGTACCTGGGGTAAGCTATTGTAATCACCGCCTAGGACAATGGGAATATCACCCCATTTCTTAGAGAGCAAGTGAGCCTTTGAGCAGAGTGAACGGATCTATCAATTAAGATTCAAGAATTAGCCATATTATATAAGAACTCAGGTTAACAACACTTCAAATGGGAACACATATGCTTGTTAAACATCTCTTGACTGAGATTCCAAACTATAGTTTACAAAATCATGCAAAAGAAACATTTCTTGGCGACTTCAAGCTACATGGACCAATCAACATTCTGTAAACTTATGGCTGTCAATTGTTCATGTAGTGCATCTATCAACTGAACACATACCTGCCCCAGCTTCACATCTCCTCTACTTGGATTATAAAGCACATGAATGTTACCAACCAGTAGCTTTCTTGAATTAGACTTCAGCAGCTAAAAGAAACCCACAAAACTAGATCAGTCACATAAGCATATACATGAACAAATTTATTTTAAAACATTAAGAGACAAATGATACCTCGAGAACTGAAAGTTGTGCAACATTATCACGCATACCAAACTGGCTAAACTCAATGTTTTCCCTCTCCAAAACCCGAAACCTTTGTCAAAACAACACATAACTTTTAACAGTACCGAGATTGTTTTCTTCACAGTGAAACAGATTGAGTTAAGCCATGTTTGCTTACCTGTCGGCCTTCCAAAACATAGCGCACCCGTCAATGTTATCTCCAGTTCGCCGCTGCCATTGCAAACCTTATATTTGTATTCCTTCTAAAGAAACAAATTTTTGCTGAGGCTACAGAGGAAAAGGTAAACGAAACCAACCGTCGATGTTTTTACATCTGATGTTACTGATTTTTTCTATAAATTAAAGCAAATCTCATTGATATGGTATACAAGGAGGTAAGACAAACAAACCTTGTAGGAGCCAGCATATCCAGCTTTCTCCATCATGCTGAATAGATCGAAATACTTGTCTACTTCCTACAAAGATCCGCATCAAAATCAACACATAACTCTCCTAGTCAAGGGGGGGAAAGAAAAAGAAGAAGGATAGGTTATATTACCTGCATACAGATTATGTCTGGTCTGAGACGAAACAGTTCCTCGCATATTAACCTTTTGCGGTAACCCCACTTGAGGTAAGGAAAAGAGACGTTGGAGTACAAATCTCTGTGATATGATGAGTTCCTATCTCCAAGTATGTTGTATGACACGACAGTGAATTTGTCTCTGTCTGAATCTATATATAATCACATAAAGACACAAGTCAAGAACAAAGGGTTCCCCCTGTTTCTCATGCTTCATGTACAAGAACGAAACCCTAAGTCGTTCCCAATACTTGCTTCCTAAGTTATATATAGCACTTGATAAATACGAACAATAAGATCATCATCATCATCATGCTACTACCTTCGCAAATGGGAGAGGTATCTGAATCAATCCAGTCACGAGCAATCCGAGAAGTCGGCATTTGATCGGCATGTCGACGCCGAGGAAGAGGGTTGTACCATCGACGGCTGTATGAACGATTTGACGAATCTTTGAGATCGGACGGTTCAGATGTGGAGGAGCATGACACAAGGAAGCTCACATCGCAAGAGGAAGGAAAAGATAGAGACAATGATAAAGGAGATCGGTGGTGAAAACTAGACGAAAGGTGACCAGAGAAGGAGATACGAGAAGCTCCGCTTGGTCGTGACCAAGTACAAGCCACGCAACGCATTTTTTTTTTGGTTTTGTGGAGATGGTCTGAGAGAAATCGAAAACCACACATAAGACAACCGCTTGGCGCCCTATGGATAATATCTTTTATTCCACGTTTCTTGTTAAAGCAGACAAAAGACATTCCGTTTTATTTACTCTCTTCCCCAAACCCATTGTAAGGCCCAAACAATTTTTTTCCATATGTTGCAATCAAGGGAGTAGAATTATTGCAGAGATTTTCCAAACTTTCGTAAATTTGCCAATGAGATACAGTATTTATTCATCAAAATCAGTCAACAAAACACGATAAAACATGAAAATTAACTAACAATAATGTAACCAAACCTAATCAGTTGACAACTAGCACAAAATTTATCACAACCTATTCGAATTCATAACATCGACTAACGGTGCGACAAAACAATGGTAAATAAATCCATACTAATTTTGTTTGTTTTACGTCAAGCGGTGAGACAAAAGAAAACATAACAACGTTGTGTATTTTATGCCCATAAATATTATATACAACCTTACTGGTATTTTCAAGTATACCTACCTAATTTTTGTGTAACAAATAAAAATATTCATTTTCTCAACATTTTCATTTCTTTGAAAGTCTTTTATACAATGACTTATTGTTAATACCAGATAATTACATAATTTTGGTTGTTGTACCTGACATTTTTTGCTAGTTGATCAACAAAATGAACAAGATTTATTTCCAGGTACATAATGGAAGCTATAGTTATTCTAGTGTAGGAAATAAAGATAACCACTAGAAATATCTAATTTTTTTTTGTATTTGACTACGAAACGGTGCTACAAAACAAAATAAATCAGTATTGTCTATTTATACTCACACACATCGTCTAAAAGATATACATGCATACTGATTTTTTCAAACATGCCCACCTGAAGCATCAATAACACTGTTTGTTCGTCTCTTGCCTTTGAAAACTTTATTATTGCGTACTTCATTATACTGTTCTTAAACTTTTATGTATTGTCAAAGAAAAAAGTTTATGTATAAACTAGGGGCGGCCCGGCGCTACGCGCCGGATTGAAAGTTTGATTTGTAAGTTTCATTTTTATTCCCAATTTATGAAGAGGAAAATACTGAGTAATAGGTTTTAGTATAACATTCGATAAGTGAAGTAACAATCATTCATATTTCATTGTTTTTGAAAAGAATATTTTTTTTGTGTTGGAGATATGAATGAATTTATTATTATTTTGTATTTTATTTAAAAATAAAATGCAAATGATAAGCCAGCCATAGTAAAACAGTAAAGATCCACCTAAATTTCTTATTTAAACCAAAGCTTGAAAATAAAGAAAAAAAAGCTGAAGAAGAACTTGAACGTCTAATCGCTAAGAACGTTTGGCATATAGCATGTTTTTTAATCGAGGAGATAGTTGAAACCCAAGATCGTTTAAGGATACTATTATTTTTTGGATTTATGGTACTCCTCAGAAATTATAGATGTATGTTTTTCTTTTGATGTCTTTGGCATTTGTTTATATAGTAATGTGGCGTAGGTTTGGTGCTGTTTTTTTGCTAGAGTTAGTATTTTGTAACGTGTCTTAACCTCAGATGTTACAGAAAACAAAATAGTAGCAATAAATATATTAAACAAAATTTTGTATTATTAAACTGTAAAAAGGGAAGTTTTAGATATGGAGTAAAGATAAGCGAAAGTTTAGACGGCAACTAAAAGCGAAGATAATCATCCATAGATCTTTGATGCAATATGGGTTGCTAAGGGAAAAAAAAGTGTTTTAATATTTATTTTCAACCATCACTTTAAAATGATAATTGTATTAATTTCTTATGATCCTTTTTTAACAATGCCTTATTATCCTTTTTCGAGCCTTAAAAAAATTATAAACCCTATTTAAAGTTTGTATGTTGTGATTTAGTTATAGGTTCATTATGATTTATTTGGGTTTTTTCCGATAGTGTGATGTTCCCATTTTTTTATTTCATAATCACAAATTTCCAAGCGGAGATGTTTGTAACGGTATTTATAACGTCTGATTATACGAAATTAATTTTGGATTTAGAATTGGAATGTTATGAATATTGGTAATCTTGGTGTTTAATAGAATTATACGCTGTCTTGATTTTAAATCAGGTTGTTTTTTTTCTTTAATTTTCTTTCAAGTCCTTCCCTCTAGTCAAATGAGGAATACTTAGTGGGCAAGCAAAGTTTTAATGACAGGTAAGGTTACAGTTTCTTATGTGTCTTTCATCTCTTTGACATAGACCTATAATATTTAACAGTAATTGACTGCACTATCTATTTTAAATTCATGAATTTAACTAATTATTTTGGACCTATATTGTGAGTTTCATCGTGTGATCGTTTGGATCAATTATAATTTTTAATGAAAAAGCGTACTTGTGTAACATCTTGTATTACAAAATATGAAAAGTATTAGTACAAAATAACTCAACAAAATTTTATGATATTTTGCTTTCACTGATACAAATATCTCGTGAATTCACTGTCTTATTATTATGTTCAAATTCATCTTTATTGTATAAAAACCGTGGGATTTAAAATCCTAGAGTCACAAACATTTGTTAAAAACTTTAATAATTTTTATATAAGAGTAATTTAAAAGTTTCCTCTAAAAGCTTTAGGTTCAAAAACTAATGTTTCAATATGATCTATCATAGTCCCGTCATATATGTCCCGATCCGTTCATGCGTACAAACCGTCAGAGTTGACACTTAAAGTATAGACACTAAAACTATACGCAAAACACATTTGATTTGATTATTTATAAATAGTTGCATCTTAAAGTATTGAAACCTCATAGATATAACTAATGCTGCATAGAGCACTTACTTTATAAGTATTATAAAAAGTATCTTAATCAGATGCAGAATACCCACATAGAGGGTGAACGGAATAACATTTATTAGGAAAATTCAAAGGAAGAGATAGATCACGGCAGTCCGGTTCTAGGCGAGACGTGCCTTCTTTCCAACAGTCGAAGATGATCCCGGGTAATCACCAGGAGCACCACCGGTAAGAGAGGAGACATTGGCTGTTGCTAAACCACCGCTGATACCTCCGCTCCCAAGACCGGCAAAGAATTGTTTTGAATCTGCACCATCGTTTCCATGACTACCGTTTCCTCCCTGATCAAACCAATGGACAACATCATTATTTACATTTCAATACTAATACATAATATCAGACACTCATCTTACATTGTCCACAAAGTCGGGATCCGGTGGACAGTCACCCTCCTTCAAAATGTGCGTGATGGTGAACGTCTGATGGTTGACAATGAAGTTATACTCACTGACTCTAACTTGGAAAGTGTATTCTCTCCTAAACGGAGGAATGTGTGTCTTCAGGATTCACACCATCTCCAGCCTATTTAGACATATATCATAACATAGATAAGTCAGAAATACATTAAGTGTAAGAATGTGTAAATAGAACTTGTTTCTTACCAGCATCTGACCAGCTTCATTTGCTTTCAAATTATGTAATTTGGTCATCACACCATCAAAACATACAAACACGCCTTTGGCAGTATCATCAGCAATGACCATCTCAACTCGATATCTAAAATTAAATAATCATACCGATAAATGATCTCATAAAAAATATGGTTAAAATAACAGTTTAAGACTACATACCGGAGAGAACCAACAATATGGGCATTGACACATCGTTCACATGCGAAAGAGTTCCCAGTGCGTTGCCGTTTTTTGGCACACTTAGAGCATGCAACGTCCACCCTTTCTCTGGGTCAACGCGTGACACTTTTCCCGTTTAAGATGAGATACTAACACATACTGCAACACCCTTGAGATATCAACAATCCTCCATATAAATTTAAATACCTGACCTGGTGCCGTGATGATGAATGCATTGAACTCAGCTATGGTTAGTGACTCTACTTTAGCATACCCTTTCAGCAAAGGTGCAGCAGGTGGGAGTCCAGTGTCTCTGGCCACCAAACTGCATGTAAACAACCGGAATGTTAGTTATTCTTATGTCCCCACATATTACTAATTTACTATTTCTTCCAGTTAGAACTTAGATTACAAATAGAAAAAGGTCTCCCCTGAACTGCTCTCATTGTCAAAGTATATGTCAAAGAGGCGTGCCAGAAGTAGCATTGAGCAAAAAACGGCCTACACAGAATAACATATGTCCATATCATCGTGTGTCAAAAACCACATAAAGAGAAACATATTATCAACTAACGCATAAGCAATCAAACAACATCAAGATACTATTACATCTGAACATAATAAAAATTTATAAATAGATATGCTATTATGCAATCGTTCAGACCAATAAACACATCTAATAGGCGTTGATACACCAAAAAAAGATTCTAATTTAAATATCTCTAGATTACCTCCAACCATTTTTGGATTGATGCTTGTAGCAACAATGACTTTTGGATCAATACGCATATTTTCAAGTTTGTAGTGGAATGCAACAGCTTCAACATCGAAGAGACTCAAAGTGACAAACACATCACTGAAAGGGTGAATTTAAAAATAAAATAAAAAACATGACATTTAGCTATGTCTTCAGACGTATTTGATCTCACAGATTTTATAATTAAGCATCACAAAAATATAAGAGTTACCTATCCATTTTGATGGTGGCCATGACACGGTCTTTTTTGCTCTGGAGGATCAGTGACAATGCTCTTCACGTCAATGAGCTCACCAATAAGGTATGTGCAAAGAGAACGGTGAATATAGTTTCTGGAGGTGAGAGCAGTGAACAAAAACTTATTTACATGGAAGCTGAGTACTCGTGTTAGCCAAACCTATCAGCTCAATATGATCACGAAACTTGAATTCCTCTGTCGGTAAAGGAGAAACCGGTTCGGTAATCTCATCAAAACCTGTTGGCTCGGAAAACCGGATCATCAAAGAAGAATCAGTTAATCGGAAATTCGGAGCACATCGACTGACATCAAAGCCGGAGATGGAGTACATGGTACCGCCGGCGAGTTTTGGTCGGAAAGCTGGCACCTGGCTAGCATCAATGCTCGCCTGCATAATTGTGGCCTGCGAAAAAAAATAAAAACACGACAGAGAATGAGAGCACAGATGTCGGAATAATAGATGTCGAAGGTTTCTGAGATGATTTTGAACAGGTCTCTTACATTCACGTGGACCATAAGCATGTCAATCCACATCAGTTCACCACCACGGCGTGGATTTCTCGCCTCCCAGGTGCGGAGCAGGCGGACCTCGACCGTGGAGGAGCAACGACCGGATTTCAAGTCCGAAAAAAACCTAGACAAAGCCATTATAAAGAAACTGATTAAGCAGTGTGAGAGAAGATTGTGAACGATTCTGAGATGATGAAGAACTTACCTATATATATACACTTTCTCCATAGACTCTAAGATGATAAGAAGAGAGTGATTACAGATCGTGGGGCTGGCGTAAACACTATCATCAATGAGTAATGAAGTTTCATATCAAGCGAGAAAGATGAATCAACAAAGAGGATCGTGTTCAGAGAAAAAATCTATGGCCGCTTCAACCACCAAACCCTAACATCGCAAGAGACGGAGAGAGATGAGCGACAGATTTTTTCTTGACATGTGTTGGGCTACACCAAGTTTGGGCCAAAATTATAGTTAAGCCCAATTGACACGTGTCAATACGCAGTGAATATATTATCTGACGTGGAGGAATAAGAGGGAATGAACTTTCGTTTATATATATAGATTTTCTTTTTTTGTCTACATGTAAAAATAAATTTATTTAACAGTGTGATAAATTATTGCCGTCGTTACTCTCTCTCCGCAACTTTTTTTTTTAATTTCTCCTATAAGTAAAACATTCTTCCTCTTCAAACTTAACACACAATCTTTCACACCATGGCTTCCGCAAGATTTTTCTCCCTCTTTCCCGTAGTCACTCTCTCTCTTCTCCTCACAACGACCGATGCTTCCTCTCGATCCCTACCAACTTCACACGAAACGACCGAACTCAACGTCGTTTCATCTCTCCAGCAAACACAACACATCCTCTCCATCGACCCAACTCGTTCCTCACTCACCACCACAACAACCACCAAACCCGAACCCGTCCCGATCTTCCTCAACTCCTCCTCTCCACTCTCTCTAGAGCTCCACTCCCGAGACACACTCCTCGCGTCACAGCACAAAGACTACAAAAGCTTAGTACTGAGTCGACTCGAGCGAGACTCATCCCGAGTCTCCTCAATCCTCGCCAAACTCAGTCTCGCCCTCGACCTCGACGAGACCGTTTACCAACCCGAGGAGCTAACGACACCTGTCATCTCCGGAGCTAGCCAAGGAAGCGGCGAATACTTCTCCCGCCTCGGTGTCGGAACCCCGACCAAAGAGATGTACTTAGTCCTCGACACAGGAAGCGACGTGAACTGGATCCAGTGCAAACCCTGCTCATCCTGCTACCAACAATCCAACCCGATATTCGACCCGAGCACATCCTCAACCTACAAATCCCTCACGTGCTCAGCTCCACAGTGCGCTTCCCTAAGAGCCTCCGCGTGTCGCACAAACAAATGTCTCTACCAAGTCCGTTACGGAGACGGATCATTCACTGTCGGCGAATACGCAACCGATACGGTGACGTTCGGCAACTCGGGTAAAGTAAACGACGTCGCTTTAGGGTGTGGTCTTCATAACGAAGGTCTCTTCACCGGAGCAGCCGGTTTACTCGGTTTAGGCGGCGGAGCCTTGTCGATGACGTCTCAGATCAAAGCCAAGTCCTTCTCCTACTGCCTCGTGGACCGTGACTCGGGGAAATCGTCGAGTCTCGACTTCAACTCGGTGCAGATCGGCGGCGGAGACGCGACGGCGCCGATTCTCCGTAACAACAAGATCGACACTTTCTACTACGTGGGGCTCAGCGGGTTCAGCGTCGGCGGGCAGCAGGTCTCCATCCCGGCGCCGGTGTTCGCCGTCGACGCTACGGGAGGCGGAGGTGTGATCTTGGACTGCGGAACCGCCGTGACTCGGCTCCAGACTCAGGCTTATAACTCGCTTCGCGACGCGTTTGTTAAGCTCACGGCGAATCTCAAGAAAGGGACTTCGAGCATCTCTCTGTTTGACACGTGCTATGACTTCTCGTCTCTGTCTACAGTGAAAGTGCCGACGGTGGCGTTTCATTTCACCGGGGGGAAGACGCTTGATTTGCCGGCGAAGAATTACTTGATACCTGTTGATGATGCGGGGACGTTTTGCTTCGCTTTTGCTCCGACGTCGTCTTCGTTGTCGATCATTGGGAACGTGCAGCAGCAAGGGACACGTATTACTTACGATCTAGCGAATCATGTTATCGGAATGTCGGCTAATAAGTGTTGAAGAAGTTGATGATTAGTAGTTTTACAGATATCTCAAGTAAAACTCTTTAGTTCTTGGTTGTTTAATGAAAAATAAAATATGAAGTGTTAATTTATTTTTCTTCTTCTAATTAATCAGAAGGTTAGAAAAGAAAAGAAAAATAATCAGAAGTTATAGACTTATTTATCGATTATAAATTCGAAATGTTGTAGGCTGAAGCCTGAGCTAGGTTTATTTTGTTTTTGCTTTGTAGTACTAATTTACTAAACATCTCAAAATGCTTTTAATATACATAAAAGTACGGACTTATAACTAAAAGTTTTAGAAAAGTCTTCAAACAACTTTTGGTGTGGTCCCTATTTTGGGAGATTGATGTCTGAAAACAATCAGTGTGAATGTAAACTTTTTATTTGACTCAGATGTGAAAAGTTGAGTTAAAAACGCACGGAATAGTTACTTTTTGTTTACATAGACATGCGAGCGAGTCCGGTTTACCTATCTAGTCAACAGATTGTCGATAAAATTAGTCAAAGACACCATATCACCTATCCACTAACTTGTAGCGATGGAAGAAGATATTAATGGTTTATTTTAATTTCCAGTTTGTTTACATTAATTCCGGAAGAAACTGAACAAAAAGGTGGTAAAACCATGTCATTATGTGCATGAGTTTTTTTTTGTAAACTATTATGTGCATAGTTTACATGCACAAAGCCACGTCTTGGAACGATAGACGAGGTTGGACTTTTAGAGTTTACTTAGCGTAGTCATTCTGGCAACTACCGAGTAAATCATGTGTATGAAGTCACGGAGTGATTTACTAACTTGGCTCGTTTCTATTTTCTAATTTGTTTTATATGAATGATACAGATCACTAAACGCTTGTTATGTTATGATCTGTGTAGACAGAAAATCATAAAGTTTTAACAACTTCAAGAAAATGCTATATCGTATTTAAAGTTAGATGAACAGGTCACGGCATGCAGAACATTGTTATCGGAAAAAAAACCTAAAAATATTGTTATTTTTGTTTCAATCAATCTTTTGAAGAATTTCAGAATTTCCAATAAATATATTTTCTATTTCCGATAGTATTATCTAATATCATCTCTTATCTCACCAAAGAAAATTCGCATGATAGTGATGCCAAATATTCCAAAACCTAGCGACACCTTACACTAACTCATAATGCACCTTGCAATTTACGTTTCAAATGGGAAAGGGGATTGGAATAGTAAAGATGCTGGCTAGCACTGCAGTACATGTGGATTTCAAATGTAGATCACAACTCTTTCTTATTTAAACTCTCTTGCTGGTGAATTTTTGTGGAAGTAATGGTGAAATTTCAAATATAGATCTCAACTCTTCCCATTTTAAACTCTTTGTGGTGAATTTATATGCTCACCGTCAGCGTTCTTAAATATATACCATAATTTCAGATGTAGATCACAACTCTTCTTATTTAAACTCTTTGTGCTGAATTTTTATGCTCACCGTCAGCGTTCTTAAATATACACCATATCGATGTTTCAATCATCTGATAACGGTTTGAAAATAAATACAAATACATGGACGTAACGTCGGTAGGGGTGATAGAGATGTGAGATAAGAACCACATGCAAAAGTGGCCCGCCATTTCATTGTATTTGCTCTTTTGGACACTGCCATATGAATGCTGTCTACGAAATTTCTGTCTTTACGATTTGTAATAATCATATTCTACGGCATAACTTCACCATCAAGTATAATTAACATCATTTATATGCGTGGCGGCCATATATATAATATTGTCGAAATACTTGCATATAATTGCGGAGTGCTAAGATGGTGAACGACGTTGGCTCTTTGCGAGTAAAACACAAGACTGTTGTTCGGCGTTGAACCGTATGAATAGCTAGGACTGTTGCGATTCAAAGTTGATTCGATTTGGATTTGTTTGATCTTGTCGTGCTATAAAAGTAAAGACACACGAGAATTTGTTACCCAGTTCACGGTTACTACCCGCTACGTCTGGGGAGAGGCGGAACTCTCTCTTCACTAGCTTAACTCACCGGAAACTCCCCGGTGGTGGATTACAATCACAAGCTAGAAACAAGACTAATCACAACTTGTTTATATGTATTCAGGTACCGAGGTGATACCGAACACGGAGACGATCGGAATCGGAGCTTCGACCTTGCTGGAACCGCCGCGGAACACCAAGAAGATCGCCGGAGAAGAAGACCCTTTGCCTCTGTATTTCTTCTTCTGTTTTCGATCTGTGTAACAACCTTAACGAACTCCAAAACCGTTTTCTTATATTAAGTAACCGGCTTGGCCCATCTGTAAACTCGCGGCCTGTTATAAAGTAACCCAGTTAATGGGCTTTTGGTTTAGACATCCAGCCCACAAACTCCACCTATGTCTTAATCGAAAGCCTCATTTCCGACAAACCATCGAACCCTAGGCGAAGCTCTGTCCCCATTTCTCTCCAGCCTCTCTCTTCGTCTCACCGCCTCTCTCTCTTAGATCCGATCACTTCCACCGATGAATCGAACCCAAAACCACTCCACCTTGAAGCTAATCTCTGTAGCCTCCACCTCGAACCTCAGAACCTCTCTGAACCCTCACGTGACAGAAACCCAGAACCACTCTCCGAACCTTCTGACAACTCAACGAACCGCTACTGAACCCGATCTGCCCCTCTGAACCCGTCTGACCTTCGAACCTTACCAACTCACACCGAAGATCGCCGATGATTCGAAAAAACTCGACACCAACACAATCTGAACCGAATCTTCAGGTAAACTCAAAACCAACTCAGATCTGACTCAGTACACACATGCATGTCGAAACCTTTACCAAAACCTTCACATGCATGTAGATATTTTTTTTCAACATCGATTAGTAACTCCTTGGCTTACTAACCTCTCTCTTCTCCTTTTGCTGCGAGGTACAAAATATCAAAGCTACACTCACAGCGGAGATACGACGCAACTAGTCAAGAACCTTGATGGACACCAAGGCCTTCTCCAGTGTCCTTCCAGGTACCGACTTAGTTAGGATATCTGCTAGGTTGATAGACGTATGAATCTTCACCACTGAAACTGAACCGTTAGCAATGACATCACGAATAAAATTGTACTTCGTATGTATATGCTTAGTTCGTTCATGATAACCTCCATTCTTCGCTAAGAAAATAGCTGACTGTGAATCACAATTGATCTGAACTGCTCCTTGATTGTAGCCTAAGTCTTCGCATAGACCTTTGAACCATAATGCTTCTTTTGCTGATTCATTTAAAGACATATATTCTGATTCTGTAGTTGATAAAGCCACTATAGGTTGGAGCCCTGATCTCCAACTAATTGTATTACCTCCGACTTGAAACAAATAACCTGTAACAGATCTCCTTCTGTCGAGATCTGTTGCATAATCTGCGTCACAAAACCCTTCAACTTTAAAACCATTTCCCCTTTTAAACCATAATCCGTAGTTAGTAGTCCCTCTGATATAACGTAAAATCCACTTAACTGCTTCCCAATGCTCCCTTCCTGGATTTCCCATAAACCTGCTAACCACTCCAACTGCATGAGCTATGTCTGGTCTAGAACCGACCATGGCATACATGAGACTTCCCACTGCGCTTGCGTAAGGAATATCAATCATGTATGGAGCTTCAATCTTAGTTTCCTTCTCGTCCAAACCCTTTAGTCTAAAATGAGAACCCAACGGTGTAGTCACTGCCTTAGAATCACTCATGTTGAAAGTTGAGAGAACCTGCTTCAGGTACTTTCCTTGAGACAGCTTAAGAGTACCTTCCTTAGGATTCCTTTGAATATCCATTCCTAAGATTCTTGTAGCTGCTCCTAGATCCTTCATCTCAAACTCACTGTTTAGTCTGTCCTTAAGATTCTGAACCACTTCCATACTCTTAGAAACAACCAACATATCATCAACGTAGATTAGAAGATAAACCCTTGTAGATCGATCTGAACCACTTATGTAGACACACTGATCATACGGACTCTGCATGAAACCCTGATCCTTCATGAATCCATCAAACCTTTTATTCCACTGCCTAGGTGACTGCTTCAAACCGTACAACGACTTCTTTAATAGGCACACCAAATCTTCCTTACCCTTAGCTCTAAATCCCTCTGGTTGTTCCATAAAAATCTCTTCCTCTAGAGTACCATTTAGGAATGCCGTTTTTACATCTAGTTGCTCTAGACATAAATCTTCATTAACCACTAAGGATAGGATGAACCTTATAGACACATGCTTAACCACTGGTGCGAAAACTTCATTGTAGTCAACTCCCTCAACCTGAGAGTAACCTTTAGCAACTAACCTGCCTTTGAACCTAGGTAGCTCAACCCCTGGAATACCCGGTTTCTTCTTGTAGATCCACTTACAACCAATAACTCTTTTTTTCTCTGGCCGCTTGACTAAAACCCAAGTCTCATTCTTATCCAGAGAATCCATCTCCTCTTTACTCGCTGTGTTCCATAGTTCCCATTCTTTAGACCTCATTGCCTCCTGATAGCTCTTAGGTTCATCAATTTCGATGTCCTGTGCTGCTGTCAAAGCGTAAGCCACAACATCGTAATCATCATATTTGGATGGCATCTTACTTTCCCTGCGAACTCTGTCTCTAGCTAAGATGTAATTATCCAAATCCTGTTGCTCAGACCCTGTAGTTTCCCCTTCAGCTTCCTGACCCTGAACTGACACACTTTCCTCTGAATCTGAAACAACTCCACCTGAAACTGTACTATCTGTAACCTGAGAATTAGACGTAGACGCTTCTGAATCATTCCTACCAGTAGATGGTCCTCTAACTAGATCTGTGCTGAACGTCACCTTCCTATTATCCTCCTTTAACAGACCTTTGCCCTTATCCTTATAGAGCGCAACCTTCTGCTCCTTAGGTATCTCTTCCTTTAGACTGTCCTTGAAAACCTCTTCTTCATGAAAGATAACATTCCTACTAACTGTGCACTTTTCTTCCTCTGGTAACCAAACCCTGAACCCTTTAGTTCCTTGAGGGTAACCTACAAAGTAGCCTTTAATAGCTCTGGGACTTGTCTTTGCTCGAGTTAAATGAACGTAGGCTGCTGAACCAAACCTCCTTAGATGTTTAACTCCTGGTTTAGATCCTGACCACAATTCCTCAGGTAGCTTGTAGTCTATCGCTGAACTAGGTGACCTGTTAATAAGATAGACAGCCGTAGACGCAGCCTCTGCCCAAAACCTTTCCTCCATTCCACTCTCAGCTAACATACACCGTACTTTCTCCATTATGGTTCGATTCATCCTTTCTGAAACGCCATTTTGTTGAGGAGTATAGGCGCATGTTCTGTGCCTCTTAATCCCAAACTCTTTGCAATGACTGTCAAATCTGTTGTTGCAATATTCCAACCCGTTATCTGTTCTCAAACACTTTAGCTTCTTACCAGTCTCAGTCTCAACCTCAGCTTTCCACTCCTGAAACTTATCAAATGCCTCATCCTTTGTCTTAAGAAAATAGATCCATACCTTCCGAGAGTAGTCATCAATGAATGTAATAAAATACTGCTTTTCTGCAAGACTAGGTATCACTGTAGGAGAACCCCATAAGTCTGAGTGTACGTAGTCCAAAATCCCTTTAGAAGTATGCTTCCCTTTCTTGAAGCTCTGTTTGTGAGCTTTTCCAAACACGCAGTCTTCACAGAATTCTAACTTCTTAACATCCTTGCTGTCCAAGTAACCAGACTTAACCAAGTTCTCTAACCCTTTCTGACTGATATGACCAAACCTCGAGTGCCACTTCTTTGTAGAATCAACCGTAGTTCCTGCTAAGTTACTCTCTCCCTGTAGAACAGTTCCTTCTAAGTAGTACAAGCCATCTGTATACTTCCCAGACAAAACCTCTGAACCATTCTTGTAGAACTTAACTGAGTAGTCACCACCAACGTAGTTGCATCCAGCCTTTTCCAAACAACCATAAGAAATAAGATTTCTTCCCATTGTAGGCATATACTTAACGTCTGTAAGTACCACAATAGCTCCATCTGGTCTCTTAATACGAATCTTTCCAACTCCCATTATCTCACTAAACGTGTTGTTTCCCATAAGAACCTTCCCACCTTTGCTCTCCTTAAGGTCAAACAACACTTCCTGATTCGGAGTAATGTGAAAACTTGCTCCTGAGTCCATTACCCACTCATTTCTTGTTTCCTGTAGGCTAGCTGTTAGAATTAGAGGATCCTTTCTAACTGACGCCACATTAGCTGAACTCGAAGGTCGATTCTTTCCTCTCTCTGGACATTCACGTTTCCAATGTCCTTCTTTGCCGCAGATAAAACAACCTCCTTTGTTGCTTCTGTTTTCCTTAGGCTTAGAGTTATTAGAGTAGCTCCTTCCTCTGCTTTTAGAACGGTTTCTAGAATTGTAGTTATTCCTCCGCTCACCTCTACCCCTTTCACTCACGTACAAACCCTCTGCCTCAGCCTTGTTCTTACCCGTAGAGCCACGTTCCCTCAGCTCAGTTTCCTTTGCGTATGCTGAAGTCACCACATCATTAACCGTGAGAGTATCCTTCCCACTCCCATACTTCAGCGTATGAACTAGAGGCTCATACTTAGGAGGCAAACCAGTGAGAATTTGAATTGCCTGATCCTCTTCTGAGATCTTTATATCTAAACTCTCGAGATCATTTACCAATCTTAGAAAAATATCTAAGTTTTGCTCAATGCTTTTGTCACTCTCCATCTTGTAACTAGCAAATCTCTGCTTTAGGTAGATACGGTTAGGTAGAGACTTTGTTTGATAGTCCCTCTCCAAAGCCTTCCAAATACCAAGAGCTGTAGTTTCCTTCATTACCTTTCTGATAATCTGATCGCTTAAGCTCATTTGGATTAAGCTCCTCACACGCTTATCCTTCTGAGGCCTTAAAGCATCAACCTTCACATCCGCTTCTTCGTCTTCAGTTTCAGGTACTTCTTCCTCAAGCACTGAATCCAAACCCAAGATCTCCAGAGCACACAGCATTTTGTGCTTCCAAATTCCGAAATCACCTTGTCCATCAAACTTATCAACTTCAAATTTACCTTTTGTAGGTTCCATGATGTCTGCAGTTTTGATCAGAAACGCAGAAACAACAATGGAGATCTACACCAAGAATTTCCAAGAATACTTCAACACTCACCAAGCTTGCACGCCTTCAACAAAACACACGGAAACAACAGATAAGTTTCGAACCTTGACCTGATCTTTCTTACTTGCTGTAGACGTAATCTTCTTGAATGTAATCGCTTCTTGAATCTTGAAACTGCGGAGCTAACCACAGCTCTGATACCACTTGTTGCGATTCAAAGTTGATTCGATTTGGATTTGTTTGATCTTGTCGTGCTATAAAAGTAAAGACACACGAGAATTTGTTACCCAGTTCACGGTTACTACCCGCTACGTCTGGGGAGAGGCGGAGCTCTCTCTTCACTAGCTTAACTCACCGGAAACTCCCCGGTGGTGGATTACAATCACAAGCTAGAAACAAGACTAATCACAACTTGTTTATATGTATTCAGGTACCGAGGTGATACCGAACACGGAGACGATCGGAATCGGAGCTTCGACCTTGCTGGAACCGCCGCGGAACACCAAGAAGATCGCCGGAGAAGAAGACCCTTTGCCTCTGTATTTCTTCTTCTGTTTTCGATCTGTGTAACAACCTTGACGAACTCCAAAACCGTTTTCTTATATTAAGTAACCGGCTTGGCCCATCTGTAAACTCGCGGCCTGTTATAAAGTAACCCAGTTAATGGGCTTTTGGTTTAGACATCCAGCCCACAAGGACATTTAGAATATCAAAACCTCTATATTAAAACTGTATCAATATACAAGATTTGATAAAGCAGACTTTTTACAAAGATGAACTGAATGTTCAAGGTATGATTCGCTTAAATCAGATTTGTGTGTTTGATTAGGAAGTATAACTGTATAGTGGTGATGTATTATCAAATATTGATTGCATAGAAGTGATGTATTACCAAATCTAAGCGTCGTGATTAGCCAAAAGGGACATGGAAGTAAAGGAGCACCGTACACTCATGGACCCATTAGAATCTGTTTGTCGGTAAGATTTAAAATCCAACAATGAGACGACACGTGGAACTGCAGGTTTGCAGATGATGAGCTACTTTTTTTCTTTTGCTAAAAAGATAATGAGCTACTTACCAGTACTAGTTTCACATTAGATTGCGTTCACGTGGATTGGATACATGACGCCATATATCACGACAAATAATAATCCAGTTTTCGGTACTTGAAAATGAAAACTGCAATTATCCTTACTAAAAATGTACATGAATAGTTGTGTAAAACCAAAACAAACTGAACTATTTTGCAATTATTCTAAGTTTTCAGCGATGATTAAGTTGTGACAGATATGCATCTACCTTACAGGATAAGCTACGCGAATAAATGTTTTCGATACTCTAAAGATAAGGACATGTGAAAATAATGAAACCTAATAAGAAAACGAAATACACAATAGTGTAAAGTTGGAAGACTGGTAAATATTTAATGAAGGCATAACAGGGCAGGAAACTAAATAAGAATAATTAGGATTATGCAAAGACAAAAACATAATGCAACATTAAATGCGTTTGGTTCAGCTGATTTATAAAGTAAAGAGTGTCATGCAAATTCATTAAATTCTACTTACAGATCCAAGATGCAAATCACATTGGATACTTCTCGTGATTACTCTATTCACATACTATTGATTCCTTTACCTGCTGAATCTCGTATCATAAATAGGTTCAGAGTTAGGAAAATGTAAAATAGAGTAGCTTATGTGAATGAATGAACATAATATATATGTATGGGGATATAATACAACACCCAACACATAAACAGGCCATTGTAGGGTCTAAAGCTATCAGCAATGATTATACATTTCACATAGCTTGTGGGGAATGGACTTGTTTAAAGGTGGTGATGATAAGTAAGTATGGGGGACCTATAAAATGGGAGGAAATATCGAAACTAAAACATGGGGGAGTGAAAATGAAAGGAAGCAATGACATTAATAATGCTTACAGGGAATAAAAAACAAAACTCAAATGACCATACTTGTTGGAAGATGACCAAAGTTGACGGATGGACTTTTCTTTTGGTCTTCTATCTTTGCGGTTGAATTTATGTTCAACAGTTTCCACCCATTTGACGTTTGTTGCGTGTGTTTCTTTTTCTATATCTTCTCGTCAACACTTGATATTACATTCAGTCTGCATACCTTACTAAATAGAAGTTCTTTATTTTCCAAAAAGTAAAGCTTCTCTGTGGCTTTTATATATGTATATTTATCTAGTGATTTGGATCACTCTCTGCAATGGCGGACCCAGCCCAAAATTTTAGGGGTGTCAACAAATGGGCTTTGGCTCAATATCAAAACAATTTTATGAAATTATCAGTAATAAAACAGCACAACATAGCTTCGAACCCAGGTTAGGTGGGTCAGAAGAAAAGAATGTTAACCAAATGAGCTGGAAAATCTTATTGACAACATAGTAAAATAGCTGGAACTTAAATTAAACCTGTGTCAGCTGACCCACTATTACTCAAAGTGGGTCCGCCTCTGACTCTCTGTACAAAAAGATTTCATAATCCCACTTTTTTGAATACCCAGATAACAATATGAGGAGAAAACAAAAGAAAAAAGATTAAAAACCGCGGGGGAGGTTTGTAGTTGTTTCTGTCACCGGAGTCTCCTCAGCTCCATGGCTAAACCAAAGAGAGAAAACAAAATGAGAATCAAACAGATAGTGATAGAGTTATAACCACCCACCAAACAAAAGAAAAAAAAATGGTGGATATTTGTTACCTGAGATAGCTGAGAGCAGACATACGGTAGAGACAAGTGAAGACAAGTACATGCAATCCTATTGTGTAGAAGAAAGCAAATGTCCTCGCATACCTGAAAATTAAACTTAATCAGCCCCAACATACTTCTTGTGATGTTAATTTTCAATATGAAGAACGAGATGCTTCCTTGTTTCCTAGAAGGAAGCGGCCACTGCTTAGTGTAATCCGATCTCTAATCCCCAAATCTTTGACCCTTTGCTCTCTTTCATGTTTGAACACACTCATATAGTTTACATGAGGCTGGAATGGTTAATACTACTACTAACTTATGTTTGTGTAGAGATAGATAACAGAAGAATGTTTTTAAACCTTTTTCGAGAATGCTGCAAATGGGTTGATATCATCCTCGTATATTTTCTTGTATTTAGATTCCACATCCGAGCTAAATCCACTTTCCAGATCTTCCACATACTGAGGTTTGGAGCAACATTCAAATCAGCCATGGAAAAAAAACATGAGCATGGTGGGATAAAGAGATGTGATGTAGAAAAGAAAATACCTTCTTTGAACCTCGAGAAACAACTTTATCATGGTTATAGTCTTGGACGTAACGGATTTTGCCATAGAGTTTGACGTTGTCTGCTTTGGTCTTCTCCAATTCGTCTGTGAGACACCCTATCTTCTCTTTTAATCGCCTTATTTCCTGCAATAGTTAAGAGAACGCAGAATATTCAGCTCAAATGAGTTTAACTACGGGATAGACGGATTTAAAGTGGATTTTCCTAGTGCACTACTGTTACCTCCTCTGTTTCCCGCAACCGTGCTCGGAACCGGTCTCTTTGGCTACAGATAACTTTCAACATTGAGCTTTGATCTTGATCTGTTGGAGCATGTTTCTGATCCATAGGAGCCTATCAAAACGAAACAAAATAGTTAAAGAGCAGCAACTAGTGTTAAGTTTATTAGGTATGAAGTGTATATATATATATGATAACTTTCAGATGTTGTGGCATCGAATTTCAAACATTTCCTTCACGCCATAGGTAAAACGCAGAGTAAGCATACAGCAAATACTAAAAAACTTTAAGATGTATGCTACTGGTTATATATCTAGATCTTAGTTCTACACCATTTGATCCTTTCCCTTTTCTTTCGGCGGATTTTCTCTGCTTCAAGAGTGTTGCATGAGATATTAGATTACCATACACATATGTCAGAGAGAAATACCTCAGACTGCTCAGCCCCACCAGCTTCTGAGAACTCCCACTCATTAAATAGAGCACCTTTTCGCTCTTTCGAACTGTAACCTTGTATAACAAGCAGAGAAGGTTTTAAGTGCAATCAAAGTCTTTTTTTAAATCTAGTTTCTTCTCTCAAGCAGCACATTTTATACAGAATCAGAAATCCTCATAGTCTCAAAAAATAATATAAACTTATATACACTGAAAAATCATGGAGGGTGATCTCAGAAAACAAATACAAGGAGAAGAGCAACCTTTAGATGGTAGCTACACACTCTTACATACCTTCAAGATATCATCCTCCAACTTTTGAATCAGCCTTTGCTGTTCATTAACCGTAGCTGTTAGTTCTTCTCCCTTGGCTTCAGCCTTCTCAAGCAAAGAGGTTTTCTCAGAAAGTTGAACCTGGGATAAAACGTGGTTTAATCGACCAATGCATTGACTTGTGCAGGTTCACTGAAAGAGAAGAAAGATAATTACAGTGGTGTCGGTTCATTCCGTAGAAGGTTATGTACCTTTAATTGAGTGCCTCATGCTCCATTTTTCTGTTTTTATCAAGAAGAAGCGACTCCATTCTGCTCATCTCTTCACCAGTGGTAGCAGCATCCCAGTCCTCGGCCTCAATTGAATTGTAACCTACAGCCTAATCCGCAATGACAGCATTACAAATTACACAGTAATAATATTACAAGGAAGAAGAGATGATGGATCTTTGGCGAGAAGTCAGTTAGATGGAAAAAAACCAAGCACCAAAATAACAACCAGAAACGATAAATACCTGCAGAATTTCACTTTCTTGCGCAGATCATCAACTAATTTTGCTGATGGTCTTTCTTGAAGCTCTTTCTTCATCTCTTCAATGATAGTATCCTAGCTTAATACAAAAAATGACGGGATGCAAACATTAGACATGGTAAGCGATAGGAGACTAATTTTAAACCAAAACAATCTCAGCTTAAACGACAAAACGATAGTACAAACATCACCTTTTTATTGAGCAACGAATTCAATTTCTTTATCTCGGTAACATGGTCTTCTCGCTCATTAGCTAAAGCAGTCTCAACATTGTGAATCTCCATATTAAGCTCTGATATAATCTTCTCTTTTGCAGTTAAAGAGTTCTCCAGCATACTATTTGAATCCACATTATCACTGCAAAGAACACACAGAGCAAAACAACAAGAATTAAACCAAAGAAAAAACTTGGATGAGACCTATCTAAAGTTATGTACCTATATAAATGGACACTCAAGTGTCAACTACCTCACCTATTCTTGTTTTCAGTATCTTCATTAGCTGTTTGCAGCTGAGACCGTAGATGTCCCTGTTACAAACCAATAACGAAATTAGGGAGCAAAATTTCCCGGTTTATCATGGGGCATTCCCTAAATTTAAACATGACATTTAGAGAACATTCTGTGAAATACCTTTTCCCTTTCAAGTGTAAGGAGACGCGTTTGAGCACGCTCCACTTCATCCATCAGTAGACCTAGTTCAGATTGCTTCGTTGCTTTTTCTTCATCTGAAGTTATAGATAAAAGTAATGTGTATTAACAAGACAAGAAGGAACAACAAACCAGAAAGGTTGGAATGAAAATGACAAGTATTTAGAAGACTAATCATGTAAAAGGAGACTATCCCGACTATGAATACACAAGAATAATTCACCATATTAAGGGTCAATGCACAACCTGATTGAGCACGAAGTTCAAAAAGTTGGCTCTGTGCTAACTCATGCAATTTTTGCATAGTGGAGACACTGTCTTTTGCTTGCCTTTACTGATCTTGCAAAGCTTGCTCCCTGTGCAAAAAGTGAATATGAAAATTGTTGGTGATGGCTCAAAAACTCTTACACATCCGAAGCATTCACGGAAGAAAATATATGTTACCTATCCTTTAAAAGCTCCAGCGTTTTCTGATTTTCCTCAGCCAGGTTTCGTTGCTTGATCTCAACAACCTCCTTGATCTTTTCTTCCATCTGAATCCAAATAAAACAACATGATATCACTAACAGTTATCACTTCTCAGTTGAAAAGATCACAAAATAGAACATCTCTATATAGCTCATCTTTATGGCTCGGCATAAGTTTGCATTTGACATCTAGGCTCAAGCATTCAAGGAAGTTAAGCTTTACTGACAGTTACATTGCTTAGTTTTGTCCCTATTCCCATAAGAACACGAGAAAGAAAGCAAGCTAACCTGCTGCTCAAGCTGTCGGTTCCTTTCTTCTAGCCTCCTTATCGTGGCCTGTTGATTTTTAAGATGAGTCGCTTCTGTCCTAAATTCTTCAAGTTCAACTTTCATTTTTTGATTCTCAGATTCCACTTCAGATAACTTACGCTCTTGCTCCTGAAATACAGTAAATAGTAAGTTTAGTTTCCATCTCATTCAGGCTAGAGGACATAAGGTTCTGTCATGGTAACGTTAGGCAATTAGAGAATTACCGCAATAGAAGCAAGAGCAGGAAAGGGATCAGGTGCTTCATAGAGTTTCTGATAAATGTTTAGGAAAGCATTCTCCCCAAACTTGGCCCTCTTGGTAATATTATCAACTTCTTCCTGATATCCCTTGAGCAAGGAGTTAAACATACCAAGTTTGTCCTCAGGCGATGCTTTTTTAAAGTCTGTTACCAATATAAACCATAGAATATAATATCCCATCATATTTATCAAACTGATATGTCATAAACACCATCAGTTACATCCCTTAGGATGAAAATTTGAGTTCTTAAGAAAAATAAAAGGTGAAAGAAAAAGTGCCCACCCCTGGTGCTCTCTGCAAGCTTTCGCCGATTCTTTTGGCTGTTTTCTTGATTCTCAGCTATTCTAAGCCTTTGCTCGTCAAGTATACTCTTCTCCTTCTCCAAATCAAATTCTGAAACAAATATTTTAAAGACTGGTGAATCATTTGAGGATAACAGTTAACACTCTCAATTCGATCACATTGTGCTATCATGTCCTTCGTTCTCCCCAACATTCAATGGTAATCTCGACGCCTATTGTTTGATTCAGCCTTACTACTACTTCAGTGTAATTCAAAACTAAACCTAAGCACGAATCTCTCCTACTACAACAAGCTAACCACTAAGCTTCATTGTGATTCAAATCAACCGAATAGATAGTTAAACGTATGAATCGGAAACAAACCTTTCCAAAAACTGGTGACGACGGGAATGGGAGAGGAAGAGGAGGAGGAAGACGGAGGAGTTGTTTTATCTCTCTCCGATCCATCTTGCAATGTCTCCATTCTCCTCGTATTCGGATCTCGATCACGCGCTTCGGCGAACACAAGCAATACTTCAGTACGAAGAAATTTTCTGGGAAAGTGATATTTTCCTTCGAATCAACGATAGAGTTTTCCGACTGTTGTTATTTTTCCTGGAAAATTTACTGCCGATCGGATCTGCTGTGATACATAAGAGTTTTGGGGTACAATGGTAATTGTCTTAACATTTTAACATGCTTTAAAATATTGAACCAATGAAGCTATATTAAAGGTAATGGGCCGATTGTTAGGATATACAAAGGCCCACTTTAAAGGCTTTTAGTTCATAACAAAAACAATTTAGAAGGAATCTTTAACGCGTAAACGGTAAAACTGTAATTATTATTATATTTCCAAAAAATCGTAACAACTGCTATTCTTACGGTCTTAAAAATGAATTCTATGTTTCAAAATATTAGTTATAAATGAAGGTGACAGAACTTTCCTTAACGGTACAGTACAACAGTGAGTCAGTAATATTTACAGTTATTTAGCATAATTTCATTTAGTAAATTAGTATATCTTGAGTACATTTATATTTTTATAATGTTTTTTTGAATAATATCTTATATATTAAAATAGAAGTCATGACTTGACTTCATGTGTGATTTTTTTTAAATAATCTTATTACTAGAAAGTCATGTTACATTAACTCTCTAATAATCTTATTATTATATTTTATGAAAAATCATATCTATAATAACAAAAATACGCTTAACAATTTGGTTTTGGTAAATTACCCCACACCTTCCAAATTAGTCACGCAAAATATGTCAAATAGATATAAATTTAAGAATCTTCTATTATTTATAAGGAAATATGTCAATAATAGTTAAATACATCCACAATATATTAACAAAAATCACATATTCGTAATATGGAATATTTATATACCCTAAGAAAATTTATACGCTATATATACTAGATAAATTTATATCGATGTAAATTTATAAAATTGTATTCTTTTAAAAAAAGAAATTGTTTAAAAATTATTTTTTAAATAAAATTATTTATAATATTAATTTATGAAGCTACAAGTTTAGTTTTTAGCAAAAATTTCTTCGAAGTTTATATTATCTTTGCAAATTAAAGTATACTAATATTTAATCAAGCTCTATTTATATTATTTTATCCTGAAATTAAATACTAATCTAACAAACAATAAAATTAAAGAAGAAGAAATAAACACATGTTTGAAAAATATTTAATATACATATCGTAAATTTGTGATTGGAGTGAAAACAAAATGTTTATATAACTAACTATAAACGAAAACAAACACCCGCTCGGTTACGCGGATCAAAATCTAGTCGTAGGATTAAATCAATCTATGCCAATGTTTTTTCCTTACATCAATCAAATTCAAAACGCGTAAGCAGTTTGTGATAGATAAACATGTTCTTTTTTTTTCTCACAAGATAAACATGTTCTAAATGTAGAATATGCGTAGTCCAAGATCTTTCCTAGGATGAAATTAAAATACCTAATTAGTAACGTTGCAAGCTGTCCTCCATGGTAAACAATCATTTTCAAAAAGACAAAAATCATTTTCAAAAAGACAAAAATCTACATTGTAGAAAAAGTGCAACGAACTAAAGTTTTAGCACTTATAACGAAGTGAGACCATTCAACCGATTATATATACTCAACATTCATTCATAAAATCTTTCACACCATCTTCAATCCTCTTTTTACCAGAAGAACTCAATACTTTAGGATGGAGAACCAGTGGACTTCTGGTCTTTGCAGCTGCATGGAAGATGGCAAATCTGGTAATTAGAATCGTTATAATTTACTTATAATTAATCAAATCGATAGTAAATATTTAAACACATAGTTTTTTTATCATGGTATAATTGAATTTTATTCCTTTTGATTTGCTTTGGTTAAGTTTGCCTTACATGTTTCTGTCCGTGCGTCACTTTTGGACGGATCGCTAATATTGCTGACGAAGGGAATCGCGGTAAGCGTAACTCAGAAATATATAATTTTATTGTATTTGTGTGTATATATGTAAATGTATGTGTGTACTCATGTGACGTTTATAATATGTAGGTTGTGAGGAATGTGGGCTATTTTACGGACTGATATGTTTTGTGGTTGCCTTGCCATGCTTGTTCTCATGCACTTACCGGACTAAGATCCGACGCAAATTCGGGTTGCCGGAGTCTCCAGCTTCGGATTGTATCACGCACTGCTTTTGTGAATGTTGTGCTCTTTGCCAAGAATACCGTGAACTCAAAAACCGTGGTCTTGACCCTTCTATTGGTAATTGCAATTCTTATGAACCTTTTTTCTCAAGCAAGAGAGTAGAAATCATATATACAAAAACATCACAGTCCTTTTTTATTTTTGCGTTTCTGAAAAACAAGTTTTTGTGTTGATTAACTATTAATGTTGCGTTTTATTATTTTGGTGTAATAGGATGGAATGGACATATGCAACGGGCGACATCTCCTCCTATGGCTCAACACATGAATAGTTGATTCTAAAGTTTCATGTTTTGCAATATGCTTATTTTCTTTAGTGAATTGATGATTTACATTAAAAAAGTGGATTCAGAAATACAGCACCTTTAAGTGTGTGTTTAAAGTATTAGTTTAAATGATTTCAGTTTATTATTGTTTTGGTATAATGAATAAATAGATAAATTGTGATGGTGTGTAACCCACATATATGTTTGGATAAAAACTGAGGTCTTAAAGCGAACTAAAAGGTAAAACAAAAATTAGTATCACTCATGCTCTCTGCAAGCTTTTCGCCGATTCTTCTGGCTGTTGTCTTGATTCTCAGATATTCTTAGCCCTTGCTCGTCAAGCCGACTTTTTTTCCTTCTCCAAATCAAACCGTGAAAAACAAATATTTCAAGACTGGTAAATCGTTTGGGAAAATGTTTTCAAGATTTTAAAACGCGTTTTTCTTCTTCTCCTTTTTTTTTGCGTTTTTCTTCTTACAGAAAGTTAAAACGTGTTTACAAAAACGTTGTAAGAGATTTTTGCTATTATGGTGACGTTGATTACTTATAGATTGTAAAATTATTAAAATTTGAATATAATGTAATTATGTAAAACTAGTGAGTTGTCACGTACCTTCCGTTATAAAACCATTTGAAAAATATTATTCATTTTAACAAAAAGTGAAATCCCTTATATATTAAAAGAGAAGAATTTTGCATTAAATGCGTTCACATTGAATTTGAGATAATCCTGACGTGTCGTTTCCAAAAGGCGTCTCACAAAAATTATTGCCAAATTCTTAAAACAGATTTTCTAAGTTTCCATATCACGTGTCTTTACATATAAAATTTTTAATGATTTCTCACAGTTATCTTGCGATGATTCATCTATTATGTTATGTTCTTAGTTGTATTGATTTGATTTATCTTTAACAAATAGACCAACTACGCCATGTGATCCTCGAGAAGATCCAGATGAGCCAATCGAAGAATGTATCCCTCATGGAGGAAAGAGTCGTTCAGAAACTCCGCGAGACAAAGACGAGTAACTCGAGATGGAAAAACCTCAAGTAAGGAACTGGAGGTTTGTATCGAACATATAACAATGAAAGCTGAGGCATGATGAAATCGTGCCTTACTTCAGATAACATCGTGAACATGATCGCTGCTCTCAACTACAATCTGGAGCGAGCTCATATATGGTCGACCAAGAGATAGCATTGAATGATGTGCAGACGGCGAAGTGGATGACACGGCTTCTTGGTTCACGATGACGTTAAGATGACGTAAAACGATGGGAGAAACAGTAAAACGATGACGTTAACATAAGTTTTGTACATTTTGTGGAGTTAGAGATGAGTGTATGTTGTTGTTGCCAAGTAAGCATATGTGTTTGTGTAAGGTTTGTGAGAGGAAGCTTAGCTATTATCTTTTGTGTCAATCTTCGATGAAACAGATAACTGAAACATGTTTCTAATGTCACCCGTATTCTAGGACATGAGCTTTTTTTTAGATAACAAAACCACTAACTCCATCATTCTTGCAAATCTTCAGTTTCAACACAACAAGCTGATGAAGCTAGAAAGAGTTGTGTTTTTGCTTCTTCTTATAATTTTGAGACGATGATGAAGCTGCAAGGAGGACTTCTTGCAGCTTAATTCTGCTGATCAACACGACGATCAAATCAATGCAGCTCCCTATCTTCGCATGCGTCATCGAGCAGAACCACCAGCTGACGGCGGGGAGAGGCAGTAGCTCTGTAACAAGCGAGGGAAGATAAAATCAGGGTATAGTTGGCGAGAAGAAGTGGAGGAGCGTCTGATTAAGAAACCGAAGACATGTATGCGTTGTGGATGGAGGAGCTGAATCTGGAGTAGGTAGTTAGAGTCTCTGAGAGTTCGTGGTCATGAGACTGCTCAAGTCTTACCTCGAGCTCTCGCTCTTCAGTTCCCCGAGATGGAATTATGTGAAGGATGTGGTTTCTTGGAACGCGATGGTGAGTGCTTATGCACATTCTGGTTGCTACATATGTGAATGAGATGCTTAACAATTCTGCCAAGAAAACATATGGTTTTACTTTCGTTGGTGTCTTATGTTGGTGTCTTATCTGCGTATGCCAATCTTGGATTATTGAGCTAAGGTGAATGGGTACATGTTTATATTGACAAGAATGGGATTGAGATTTTTGGGTGTTTAGCAACAGCTCTTGTGGATATGTATTCGAAGTGAGGGAGAATTGATAAGGCTCTTTAAGTGTTTAGAGCTACTTTGAAGAAATATCTAAGTACATGTCACTCGATGATCTCGGGTTTAAGCGTCCATGGTCTTAGTAATGATGCTTTGGAGATGAGTACAAACTCTTTGAAACGATGAATAGTGTGTACGAGATTTTGGTCAACTATTGAATATTGTTATAAAGAATCTTTGGTTGTCTTGTCTTTTGTAGGTTCACATGTGTTGAAAAGTTATCTCATGTACAAGGCTGGTTATATATATAATCAGAAGAAACTTTTCTTTTCCTGATCATGGGTGCTTCAATCAATCTTTTAAAAAGAGACTCACACGCATGTAAGAGATGATACTTTCTTTATCTACATCCTAGGAAGAAAACAATGTTGTGTCATAGCTTAGATCCTTAAGGCAAGATTTTGTTGATTTTATACATACTGGAATCAAAATAAATACAATAGCATGATCTCATGCACGTAAGTTTTTGTTTTCAAGAGAAAGAAAACGGTCAATTGTTGTAGAGGTAAATGATAATATTATGGCTAAGAATATTAAACCGATATCAATCAAGTGGACACATACCGAATTAAACCGTCTATGGTGGATTCAGACAATATTTAATTGCCGTGAATGAAATGCAAGGTAAATTAATGATGCTAAATAGTATATATTCACATTTTAAGGTTATGGCAATATATATATCAAAGAGTGATTGAAAAAGTAAAAATATATGACATTTCGGAGGTACAACGTGAATGACGACATTAGGTATAGTAAACCTATATAAGACTCACTTCTCCCATTCATTTTTAGTTATTTCCTAAATCCGAAACTTTAGAAATTTAACTCATTCTTGTATAATGGTTGCGATAACTTATGTGTCTGATTTGAAACCATTCAAACTAATGTGGAAGAAAAGTAGTGTTCTCGGCATCTGAAGTTCACATGCTTCTGGCTGATATGTATTTTTTTTGTATCAGCCTCCAAACGATTGCTCTTCATTCTTCATCTAGATGCAGTAGGTAAGAGGGGAGAAGGTAACTTTTTCTTTTTTTCTTAATCGCTTTGACTAAATTTTTTTTTTTGTAAAAGGTCACATATCAAACGAAAAACACATTGATGTACGGCTTATTTTTGATTATTGTATGTTGGCTTTAAAACTTATACCATCTCATTTGCGTAGAAATTATTTACTGTATTTTTTTAATAACCACTAAAAAATCTAATTGCCTAAGTTTATAAGGAAATTAAAATAACTAATATAATAAAAATTACTAATAAAATCAATTACATAAAATACTATTAATACATTAATATTATTAAACTCTTAAAAAATAATTTCTATGAGTATAAATAAAAAATTTTATACAAAAGAATCAATAAGAGTACATGGAAATTATAGAACGATGCATTAGATCAACTCAGTACTGTATAAAATTCATATAATATGGAACCAAACAAATAATAAAATTTATGTTTTATCACCAAAAACGAAATATGCGAGAAGGCTTATCATAACTAAACCTAATAAATAATGGATTTCAATGATAGTTATATTTTAATAGACTAAAAAAAAAAACAACAACATAAAATCGAACTGATATACAAATTAAACATACCTAATATTTTCTTATTTAAAAAAATAACTAAATTAACTATCTCATCCCGCACAAGGTGCGGGTTATTCATAGGACCTGAGCTTCTTTAGATAACAAAACCACTAACTCCATCATTCTTGCAAATCAGTAGTACAAAAGAGTAAATAAGTGTGTTTTATTTGGTTAAAAATATTTAATGAAATATTGTTTAATGAATTAATTATTTATATTTTACAATAAATTTGATTTGATATAAGATGACATTAAATAATTAATTTTAATCATTGTGTTATCACCATTAAATCACAATCGCAATTTAACCAAGAAACAATATTTAAAATATAGATGTATAATTGGACGATATCAAAACTCGAAACAACCAATCCAAAACAAACTAATATCCAAATAAAACAGATTTAATATCTTCTTATCTTCAAAAATACAACAAATTTAATCATCTCATCCCGCTTAAGACGCGGATCTAAACTAGTAACTAGTTACAAGATGAGTCTCTTAATGTTCAAATTTGTGTGTGTGTTTACGACTTTCCTGATTTTATCAAAGGTGCATTGTACTAAAATTTAAAAAACCTTTCACGTCTTTTTGCTGGAAATCCAATACTTTACTAGGTATAAACCACATATATATCATTGTGGAGCTGCATAGACCAGAAGTCCAGTTATAACTTTTTTTTATCATTGGTATAAACAACTTATATATCATTGTGGAGTTTTGCCAACTGCCAAGAGATTCGACGTAAGGGACTAAGAGCAACTCCAATGGTGTTACTCCCATTGGAGTCCTTAGCCATTAATTTTTTTTTTTTTTTTTTTTAATAGTTAAGGATTCTAGTATAAATTACATGTCCAATGGTGTTCTTCATTAAGAATCCTTAAGAATAAAAAAAAAATTTAAAATTAGAAAATGTTATGCTTTTGTTTGATACTTGTGTTTTGTGCACATAGTCCACATTCATAGTAAAGGAAATTTCGAATATTCAAAGGCTTTAGAAAGAAAAGGACCTTGGTAGCACGGGTGGATATGTAAAGCTTCTGTAGTTTCTGATGTTGATGGAGTTCTGTATCATCAGATAAACCTGTGAGCCTTCTGATCCTGTTCGAGAAAGTATGTACGCATTGAGCATTGTTTTCTTGATGATTTACAAAAAAATTGGTTGAGAATAAGGTACCTTAAGCAAACGTGGAATGTGCCAAATGTTGGGAATATCATATAGAGTGAATATATTCTGCTGCTGAAATAAGAACCATAGGCTCGTAAATAACATTACAATAATAGACAAAAATAATGGCAGCATCTTACAGGGGCATGTCAAAACTGAACTAACTTTTCTTTCACATTCTCTTCAAGTACCTAAACGTTAGAAAATAAGAAAAAAAAAAAGAAGTTAACAGACCAGGAGACTGTAACTTCTAGATGAAACAGATTTAGAGTAAAGATGGAGACCAAACCTTTGTGCTCCGACAAGCTAAGAAAGCAAACTTAATATCACTCAATAACATATTCCCTCCTTTACTATGCGAGTCACCACAATCAGAGATCTCCCTCTCGCTGTTATCCTCTAACAAAACAGTAACATGACACTGCTATCAGAAGAAACAAGTTCTAATACTCAAAACCAAACTAAAAAAACAATACCTTTCTCAGGCAAAGAGATATCTTCAACAGAACCTTGAATCACCTCAACAATATCTTCAAGACCATTGGCTTTGACAAGAGCACGAGCATGATCAGCCATCGTAGTAGCTTCCACAGCATAAACTTTCCTCGCACCAGCTTGAGCTGACCAAATCGCAAGTATCCCACTCCCTGTTCCAACGTCCAACACAGTCTTCCATAACACATAACAAAAATTAGCCAAACTTTACAGAACAGAGACCAATGACTTTATACAGAAAAAGGTTTCAGCTTTGAATACCTTTCCCTCAAAGTGATGTTTGTTCTGGAAACAAGGAGCAATCTCCCACACATCGACCAAAGGAGCCTTTGATTTACCTTGTAAATCTGAAGAGAGGAAATCGCCTTTCTCACATACACAATTTTTTTTTTACCGATGTAGAGTAGAAAATGAAACACATCGAAACGACCCCTCTCTCTCCACTGCCACGTCAACAAGGATTGAATCCTTAAAAGCCTTACCTACGGATCAATCCTTATGTTAATCACATTTTTTATTATTTTTTTATCCTTCATTGCATATGTAACCCCGCTAAGGATTCATTAATTACTTGCGTTGTAGGTGCTCTAAGGGTGTGTAAGAGTGCATGAATACCCAAAGGGTGAACTTCCTTTAATCGTGTTTACCATGATCAAATATCATTGTATTAACAGTTTTTAGAAGTAAGTTGCAGTTTTATTTTTTATCAAAAGAAAAAAAGTTGCAGTTTTATTTTCGTTTTATAATAAAACATAATATAAGAAAATACCACCAGGTCCACCACCAGGTCCAGCGCCATTCCTTAAGCAGTATAGAATCTCAACAATGTTTCAAAAACCGATGTTTAAGTTTTTTTTTTTCCTTTTTGCGATAAACAATGAGCTGATCCATTTCCAGTTTTGTGCACCAAATAGAATTTGAAGTTAAAGTTACATACACAATCACGCACAATTTACAAACTTAGTAATACTAATAGATGTAACTGGCATTGGATCCAATAACTAAACGCATTAAAAAATTTCTATTACAAAATAAACCTAACTAGTTTTTGTTGTTTGATGCATAAATGAACAGTTCATTGTTTTTGGGGTTATTTTACGAACGGTGACAGCCGAACTAGTCTGGGGAATAATTTTATCAGAATAGTTAAATTACAAATCACTATTAAAGTACAAGATGGAAGTAACTATATGAATAAAATGAGCCCACCATTTGAATAGAATATTTAAACTAAAAAAACGATTTAAAAACCTTTCTCTATATAAACTTAACCTTCATCCATTGTTCATTCACAAAACTAAGAGATATATAGTAGTTATAAAAGATAAATAAAAGAAACTTCTTGTTGCCAAAGTAGCCGGTAAACACTATGGTTCGACCACGTCTTGACCAGCCGAATCAGGCACAGCCTCTTGGTGACGGAAACAACAAGGCAGATATTCAGCCAAACATACCAACGGGTATACCGGTCAATAACCAAACGCAGAACCGTTGGAGTTCCGATCTATTCGACTGCATGAACGACAGTGACAACGGTTAGTTAACTTTACAAAATAAAATCACAACAATAACGGAATCATATACATAAAAACATTATATACGATTTATTGTTGTTGTTGTTGTTATGGTGCGTTGGATCAGCTTTGACAACATTGATAGTTCCCTGCGTCACGCTTGGACAGATCGCTGAAATTGTTGACGAAGGCGCGACAAGTAAGTTACTGGTTCATACATACATCCACAAAAATGTTTAATATTTTCATAGAACCTCATTTGTGTTACTGTGCATTATATCATACAGCTTGTGCGATTGGTGGGTCGTTGTATGGAGCGATATATCTAACTGGGTTGTCGTCTGTGTACTCATCCATGTTCCGGACCAAGATAAGAGACAAATACGGGTTACCGGATGCTCCAGGTCCAGATTGGCTCACTCACTTAGTCTGTGGGCCTTGTGCTCTTTGTCAAGAGTATCGTGAGCTCAAACACCATGGTTTGGACCCCAAAATTGGTAATTTTCATTATTATGAATACATTCACTCTTTATGATAAATCTTCTTTTACCTTTTTCTATGTTTTTGATTACGAAATGAAAACATTGATTTGCTTTCTTTTGTTGTTATTCCTTTTGTGATGATAAATCGTGGTCTAAAATATTACTAATATTAATTTGGTGCAATAGGGTGGGCTATGAATGTGCAAGCACAACAACAGCAAGCGATAATCGCTCCTCCAACAGGTCAACAAATGATGGGTTGACTTAAAAAGAACGCTTGTTCTATTTTTTTTTATCACAACATGATTTAAAGAATGTTTTTTTTTAATTTGACTTTTTGCTACTCTTTTTTTTAAAATATTTGATGGCCGATTAAAAATGTAAGACAGCGAGACCATGTTGATATGACCTCATGCCCACACACGAGTTGTTGCAAAACAAATCCTAGATAACATTTTTCGATTCCATTTCAAGAAAATAACTAAAGTGAAAAAAAAATTGGTTTCAATACACACTCGGTCACTCCTGAGTTAAAATTTGAAAATTATTTTTATAAACATTTCAGATACAAGGCCTAAAAGGCCCAAATATAATAAAGCCCATCATAATATAATAATTGATAAAACCCAAATACAATTCACCTTCTGACAATGTTTGACGTTGAAACGATCGAGTGGGTGAACTTAAAAGTTAACACAACCCTTGTTTCATCCGAAAATCGCCTGCCGCCTACCTCTTTGAACTGTGAGTTCGCTTCTCCACTCTCCAGCCACTCACACGATTTGCCGGAACCATGTTTACGTCTCTCTCAGCTCCTACTTCACTGTCTTTCTCTTTAGTCGCCGTTAAAACTCCTCCGGTTCTCCGTCGTGATCTTGTCTCTCTGCGCATCAGAGCAAGCAAGAATGTCTCTTCTGATTATCCTTTTGATAAAAAGCTCAAATCTTTCGCCAAATCAGCGATTCTAATTGGCGCTGCTGTTTCAATAACCGGAAAGTTCTCAACTTTACCGGCGAAAGCGGAATCTCCGGTCACGACAACCACCGAGGAAGTGAAAGAAGAGAACATCACGTCCGAGATCGAACCCACTTCGCCGTTATCCGAGCTTCTAGATTCCACCCCTGAAGCTGTCAAAACACTGAGATCACTACTTCAACAGAAGCTAGAGAACGGCGAAGACGAAGAAGCTCTCAAGCTCTTAGAGAAGCTCGTAACCGCACAGCCTGATGAAACAGAGTGGAAGTTTTTAATGGCGAGGCTATTAGGGGAGATGGGTCGTCCCAAAGACGCACGCCAAGTGTTCGAGGAAATTCTCCAACGAAACCCGCTTTCCTTCGAGGCTTTGTTCGAGAACGCGTTGCTCATGGACAGGTCTGGGGAAGGAGACGCGGTGCTGCAGAGGCTGGAAGATGCTTTGGCTGTAGCTGAAGCTGAGAATATGGTGAAGGAGATTAGGGATGTGAGGCTGATCATTGCGCAGATACAGTTCTTGCAGAAGAATGTGGATGAAGCGTTGAAGAGCTATGAGCAGTTGACGAGAGAGGATCCTAAGGATTTTAGGCCGTATTTCTGTAGAGGTATGATTTATAGTTTGCTTGATAAGAACGTTGAAGCTAAGGAGCAGTTTGCGAAGTATAGAGAGCTGTCTCCGAAGAAGTTTGAAGTTGAAGGGTATTTGAGGACACCATTGTCTAAGATGAAGCTCTTTGGTAGTGGTGGAGATAACTGAGTTTGTGTTAGAGTAATAGCTCTTATACCTGAAGAATAAGACACGGAAGACAAGATTGTTTTCCTGAGAGATTAAGTTGAAGTTATTTACGAAGCAAGTATTCGTAATGTTACTTTGAAATTATGATGCATTTGTAGTTTATTTTGTTTATCGATATGATATTCTTATTTGGTATCAGAATTAGACCAATGTCGAGTGTACATTACTCAAGCTCGTAAGAACCCTTGCATGAATCCTCTAGACCAAAGAGTTAAACAGTGCCATGTTTCCAACAACAAGAAAAGTAAACAAGAAGAAATCTGCAGATTCCAAAGACACCATTCCATGTCTTGTAGTAAAAGCTCGGTCACCTGCATCACTGAAGTAAAACAAGAAAAAAATAGCATTTGGATCACTAAGCTCGTTATAAGAGTGAAACAAGAAGCTGTTATAGAGAGACTATATAACACTTAGTAAGAACTTTCCACATTCATCGTTCATAATATCAGGATACACAGTTACACACATTGCTATGTGGTGGAAAGAAACTGTGGAGTATGAGAACATAGAAGACTGAGACAAAACTTAGAGCATTCCTAAAGACCTCAAGTTAGAAGAGCTACTCCAACATGCAATGAGTTTATTGTAAAAGAGACATTCACACTTTAACCACTTAGTTTTTCTTAAGAGATAAAGGAACATCATGATTACTGGTAACATACTTCTAGTACAGACAAGTATGAAGGAGTTTCATATCTGAAGAAAACCTTAATAATCCATAAAGCATCACACAATTATCATTTCAACCATAACAAGAACCAGAAATCCCAAATATTTCTTACAATACTCTTTTAGTTTATCGAACAGATGTAATTAAAAAAAAACAATGCTTGTAGTTGTAAACAACACGAAACATAAACCCAAAACAAGTTCCTCACCTCTCAAACTGATCAGACGCAAAGCATTATTATTCAGCTTCAACAGCCTCAGGCTTGGGACCTGAAAATTAACATCAACCAAAAAAACTTAAACACGACATTCCATTTTATCAACCAAAGGAATCATTTTGACGTCACATCATAACTCACCATGAAGGGAGATAGGACGGTGGTCTTTTCCCCATCCAACGCCACGAGTGGAGTCGAGATACTGCTGGACGAGAAGACGGCATTTCTGGTAGTGGTTGACTCCTTCCACGCGGTAACACCATTTGACCTTCTCCCTCAAGATCTTAGCCTTCTCGATTTGGATCCACTTCTCCCTGACGATGTGCTCTCTCATCTCCACCATCGCCACCGGATCCTTGTACGGGTTCGCTGGGTCAAACCCATCCGGCGCCGTTTCTTCGAACTCCGGCAATCCCTTCTTTCTCCCCATTGTTTCTTCGAACTCGTTGATTGATTCGCTTCTCGATTTGGGACTCTGGGATCTATTCTACTCAAATGCGATTGTGGGCCTGTTTGACTGGGCCTGATACAGGGCCCAAACTTATAAGTGTGTTGTCTGTAACTGGAAAACTTTTAGGGAAAATTTGGAAAAATACATTTAGATTAGATAATATTTTGAAAACTATATTTACTAACAAATAAAAATGACTAAATTGTCCAATTGTAATGTTTGTACTAGCTAATATCTGAATTACTAATTTTCATTTTAAAAAAAATTAAGCGTTAAAACAACAAATCGAATTAATACCTTTTTTCCAAATAGTGCTTTTAATATCTAAAACAAACTCTTCTTCTTATCATCAAAATCAACCACATCCTTATTTATAGTATTCTTTAATAAACAAAAGCAAGCAGTTAATGATACAAAAAACATCTTTGTTCGGATTTGATGATTTTTGTTTATACGACAAACAACAAACCCATATTAAAACATATGAAAATCAAATAGTGCATTGATTATTTACTTTTTTTCTCTACTACAATTTTACTGCTACCTTGATTAAGATGATGATGATACTTTGTGAACTTGTGCACATGGAGCACATCCATAGACTCACAAAGGAACTCTTGGGGGAATATTTGACATACTTTTTCATCATCTTTAAAATATATATTAATTGTCTATTTTTTATATTAGGCAGATATTGACGAATTGCCGAGATTCAATCCATTTATCATTTCCGCCATAAAGACACCAAGTAATAATACTTTGAACAATACAAATAGCAGCAAAGAATAGGATAATAATCGAAACCAGTAGTAGGATGATAATAATTTTAATAATAATATTTTCAATTTAGTATTAATTACTTAAATTTTAATTTTTTAAAAAATTAAAATATAGATAAAAGTGTCTTATCACATATGGAAAAAGCGTAATTTTTAAAAAAGAAATAAGTAAATTAATGTACTTTTTTAAAATTGAAAACATAAATATAGTATTTTTTTTAAATTATCCCCTTCTATTATAGTTATTTTAATCAAGAATAATAAAAGAGGAACGCTCACCTTCAATGCCCAGCTTCATTAGCTACTTGATTATGTCACATTTTAGTTTTTAGATTTTTGTCAAATTTAGAGAAAAATTATAGGTTTATCAACTAACTTTTAATTATCTTCAATATTAATGTTGATTGTTACTTTGGGAAAACTTGTTTTTGTTGTTTATGACTATGACAATGTAAAAAAGACAAAATCTTTTCTACACAGATAATGACACACGGTATTGCACGATCTTTCAAGGCATAAAAAAATCCACCCGAAAATAAAATGAAATCTAACGTGTAGACAGATTTGAAGATTTTGTGGACTCCAATTCTATGATTTTTAATTAATGACAAGGTGATATTTCCTGGTGTCACTTCGACTTGATTATCATAATGCAAATGACTAAACTTTGGAGTAAATTATATGCCAATTGAAGGGTATGGTCGATTCAGAAAGCTAAATGTACTATACATGATATGAGGAGGAAACTCATAAGTTATACCAAAAAAAATGTTAACTATATTATATCCATATCAATAACGTATTGGTAGAGAAAATGTGATAAGCTTAAATAATAACTACTGGCTATTAGTAGTCATGAATTGTGATCATAGATTATCAGTGCATGGTAGAAGTATAACATAGTAGTGTTATAAATTCTTGGCAAAGTATAAATATATATATATCAGTCATTACATAGTGATATATTTCCTACATAGAGACACTATCAGAGTGCATTGGAGGAAAAATGTGATGGTTTATTTAATCTCTTGGCCATTATCTATGCTATTATTTGCGAAGTGATTTTTCGCTACGGAGCTCTCACATTAAAAGTTAGAGTGGTTAATATCGTTTATACCCTTAATGAAAATAATATATAGCTTACATATAAAATAAAAACGAATTTAAATGATTTTGATTAGATAACTAACTAAAATTAATAATAATTATAAGAATATCCAAAATCTAAATAATATCTTTTTAAATAAGATAACTCCGATATATATTGTGATATTTCTGAAAATATATTTTGATAAAAACGTTAACAATTAAAACAATAGTTAATACATAAGTAAATAATAATCAAGTCAACTTCTTAATTTTATATAATTCAAAAAAAATATTATTTGATGTTAAAATTATTTTTAATAGTGAACATAAATTACAAAGAAATATATGTAAGAATTGTTAAATGAAAGTATAAATATTATGGTTTCAAAAAATAAAACAGAATTAATATTTTATTATTATAATATTTTAACTAATAGAAGATGTATTAATAAAATAATTATAAAATATTTATGCTCGAAAATACGGGCAAAACACCTAGTTAGTACATAGTCATGAATAGTAACCGTCATAAAATAATAATGAACTACATCAAATTTTCTACAGATTATATGGTGATGTAGTTTTTTTGTGTGGGTTTACGTATAGTTAGTGATACTTATATATCCATCATTCTATATACGGAAAACAGTTCACATTTCTAACCATGTATATATTTATTTATTTATTTCTAATCATAAACCATGTATATTATATTTAGTTCATCTATGCTAATATAAATTTCTTGATAAAATAGTAGTGCAAACGTACACACAGCAGGTAGATATATACGTACGTGTGTGTGATTCTAGAAAGCTAGAAAGCCCGTACTCTCAAGAACGAGAAAAGTCTCAAGGTTAGATTGAATCAACGGGTTTTCAAGTGGTAGGATTGACATTTTATATATGAGATAAAAATATCCCAGTAATTCTGTGATGAATAACATAAATTAATTATTTTCATGTGTTTTAGACATTCCGTGAGATGTGGGATTTTTAACCACTCTTCTAGAGTAATTATTTCAACTTGTCTATAAAACTAAAGGTTTAAAACAAAGACTATGTTCAATAAAACAAAAAATACCAACGAAAAATTGGTCTAATGATTAAAAATCTCAAGCTATACAGTAAGACATGTCACAATTTTAAGTCCTATTAGGAGTCTTTTCTCCAAAAGAGTGAATTTAAAATGGTTTAGATTAAAAATGTACTGGTTTACGGATCCAAAACCTTCTAATTATTAATATATATACATATATAATAACATTCCAGTGTGAATAGAATTTTTTAATATCCTAGCTAGGATGTGTTATATACAAAACATAATCTTAGAAAAACAGAATTATTTAGAAAAATATTTTCTCCATGCTAATTATCGATCCCATATCTTTTTGAGTTTTCTTCTCTACAAATTATCAGAAATGTTTATCTGGCAGAAAAATAAAACAATTTACCGAAATTATCAATCAAGAAACTGAGTCCACCAAATCAAGTATTATTTGTTAACACACTAACACCCGAAAATTGAGGCAACATTTGCACGAAACAATTCAACGTAGAACATGAGCTATACTATTCGAATACGTATAAGGGGATCGCAACGCAACTTATCTTCTAAAATCGATAAAAGCGTATAAATTATAAGTATGTACTTTTCTCATAAACATATAATCAAGCATATTATTTGTAAACATATTAATGGCCGTGAGATAAGCAAAAAGACAAGTGTCCGCAATTGTATATATATATATGACAATTTTGATGGTTTAATCAGGTTTAGAATTTTCATATCGTATTAATTAAACTATGATTTGACCAAAAATGTAGAAGCCATGCAGGCATGTTCACATTACACTAGGCATTAGGGTTTCTTTCATGGTGGGTAGCATTGGGTAAAGTTGGTTGGACAAATCTCACAAAAATCCATCCCATGTTTCTATAATTTTAATTATGCAGATATTAAGACCAGCATTATTTTATAAACTTAGTAATGTAATGTAAAAGGAACATTAATATATACGCCGACAAATATTTTATTAGACAGTACTACAGTAGCATAGAAGGTCATTAATGTTTAATAGTAAACATGAGTACGTATGCTTGGTTGAAAACCCTTGAATTGTCAAAATGTTAGCTGTAATAATCAACATTCGGAAAAGACTACTCGTGGCCGCTTCTCCCGCAAGATCAGTATTTGGTACAGAAATAACTTTTTATTTTAATATATAGTTTAGTTATATATGTGATTATATATATAAACCCTATCTATGTCACATTATTGAAAAGCTTTTTGCTGTCGATCTCCATTGTTCTCTTTTCAAGGGAGCTAGAAAGGAGAACCTCTAATTTAGATTGGTTAAAAAGAACAAATAAAATGGAAGAAAATCTTCCTCCGGGGTTCAGATTTCATCCTACAGACGAAGAGCTCATAACGCATTATCTTTGTCGGAAAGTCTCCGATACTGGATTCACCGGTAAAGCTGTCGTCGACGTTGATTTAAACAAGTGTGAACCTTGGGATTTACCAGGTAGTTATTCGTTCATCTATACTATAATATATATGTTTCGTGTGTAGTATTCGCCAGCGACTGTATTAATTTGTATAATCCTCAAGAAACTTGTGTTTGATTGTGTTTGTAATACCAACAAGTTTTTAGAACACGTGATTACCATGCTCCCTTCTGTTCTACTGTTTTTGTCTACATAAGTTTTTTCACAATAATTTTAGAAAATATAATAATATTAATATAAAATCATTCATGTATAAACTCTTCGGCAAATATGATAATGGACTGATCACATCATTTAATATTGATAAAAGACATAATACACGTATATATATAACATAATAGACAACTTGATTTGACTAATATAAATGAAACTATATATAGTTGTTACATTGTTTTATATATAGTAACCACATTCTTCAGTTTTCTGAGAGAATAAATTTATTTAGGTTCTACATATAGGTGTATCTAGCCTACCAAACATGTGGAGACTGGAGACTATAAACATAACATAAGTATATATAAATTCTCTAGCTACGTATACAAGTTAGTTGAAACTTAATATTATACTTGAATTACTGAATATTAATTTTAATCGTTCAACTATCATATCATAACTTTGACTGTCAATAAATGTTAATGAATAGTGTAATATTTGTTGTTATTTTTGATTTTTAATCTATTTAAGTACATTGGACTTCACTATTATCATCTGGATGTTAAAATTCACAATCTCATTTTGATATGAAAAATTGTATTTTTGAAATAATAAATAACTTTTGAGAGCCGAGAACCACGCTTGCGCGGAATGCACACTAATCATGTATACCAATCATTTATACATATTATTATTATTTATTTTATGTTCGTTCACGTATTATGCAATAATATGTATATTAAATAATTGAGAAGCGAGTAACTATTACAGATATAGTTAAAATGGAGTAAACATATAAATAAATACCATCCCTATTTGTATTTACAATATTGTTTTGTTTGTAAAAAATCAAAATAACTAATTATTTGTTTTATATGGTATATAATTAAAATTAAATGATATTAACAAAATTATATAATATATTTTAATATAAATATTTGTTAATTGAAGTTCATACTCATATGATTTAACTAAAATTTTTATATTTACTGTAACAAATATTATTTTTATTTATATGAATATTTAGTAACCAATGCTTCTTACTCAAAGCAAATTTTGAAATTAACATGTTTATGTATTTATATATATATATATATATATATATATATATATATATATATATATATATACTCTGAATATTTATATGATTTTATGATCATTTGTATTTTGTTTTAACAAAAAGTTAAATCATTGATCACAAATTTTTTAATGTTGACTTTTAACAATCTTAGTAATTTATAATCGTTTAAAAAATTCAAAATATAGCTATATACGAAAAAATCTTAAATTTTTAATATACTATTAATATGATTGTTTAATTTATTTTAAAAATGTAAAATTAAAAAAGGATGGAGGATAGAAAATTGATATCAAATCTTTATTATTCATAATCATTAATTATCATATATTTGTTAATTATATTAGGTAGTTCCGTAGCTTTTATTTAAAGAAATAATGAAGAATATTCTTTTATACACTACCAATTAATTGCATGGTTAATTTAATAAAAAATATAATATATATTAAGATATACCAACTTATTTTTTTAGGATTCTAAGAATCAATGTAGTGATGATATGTGGCTACCAAAATATGTTGTAATGCTCCAAGATTAATATATAAGGGAATACTATATTTATGTTATCCAAAATGTTAGTATTCGTAACTAAAATAGTGTGCAAATACTTGTTTAATTATATGCGCAGCCAAGGCTTCAATGGGAGAGAAAGAGTGGTACTTCTTCAGCCTAAGAGACCGGAAATACCCAACCGGTTTAAGGACAAACCGAGCAACTGAAGCCGGTTACTGGAAAACAACCGGTAAAGATAAAGAGATATACCGAAGTGGAGTGCTGGTTGGGATGAAGAAAACCTTAGTTTTCTACAAAGGAAGAGCTCCAAAGGGTGAGAAAAGCAATTGGGTTATGCATGAGTATAGGCTTGAGAATAAACAACCCTTCACACCCGCTAAGGTATGTACATATACAAATGTTACTGAACTATGTCGATGTTACATGAATTTTATATTTTTATAAAGGTTAAATTTGATGCGATCAAAATATAGAAATTTTATAAAACTATAAATACATTCAGGTACGGCTCAATAATATATTCGTTTAAAAAAAAATATTGGTTTGAATATAAAGACCTAATTTTATATGCATATACATATGTGAAAAATATAAACAATACTATATGCACTTTACTCTTTAGCATCTTCAAATGTTTTTGGATCATATGTGTTTTTGCACTATTAACAATCTAACACATGATCTTGAATATCATCTTAATTTCCAGGAGGAATGGGTAGTGTGTAGGATTTTCCAAAAGAGCACAGCTATAAAGAAACCACAAGAACAACAACCTCAATCATCTTTTGGATCTCCATGCGATGCAAACTCATCAATGGCAAATGAGTTTGAAGATATTGAGTTTCCGAATCTCAATTCAAACTCATCAACCGTCGGTTACAATCACATTCATGATCAGTATCCGCAAAACAGTGTTTACTCAGAAGATAATATTACAACTGCGGCTGATCTCAATATGAACATGAACATGGCTAATAATATTCCGTCTTGGACAACAAGTCTACTTGGTCCACCTTTATCTCCAATCAACTCTTTGTTGCTCAAGGCTTTCCAAATGAGGAACTCTTATAGTTTCCCAAAAGAGATGATCTCTAATATCAATCCTTCTTCTCTTATTCAACAAGGAGTCTCCAGTATTATGCAAAATGGTTCAAGTTCGTCTCAGCCACAACCGCAAGAGGAAGCGTTTAATATGGACTCCATATGGTGAAAGCATTTAAACGGTCAAATCACGTAGTATATTTGAATTTTCTAACTTGCTGTTATGTAAACTCCATCAAAATCTCAACTGTACCATTACATATACACATAGATCTCAACTTATACATATGAGGTCAAGTAAATTAATCAGTGCATCCATCTTTTATGTGAAAGTACGGAAAGTTTGTAATAGTTATGTCTCCGTCCTTATATGTTACAATAAGTTACTTGTTGCCAGACTTTATGATAAAAGACAGATGAATATATATTTGTTAAAGACTTTTAAATAGTGAACAAATACATTTGATAAAAACATACAGTTTCTGTAAACGAAAAATATAAATTTGATAATCTTAGATCTCTCCCCGCGATAGGACTGAACTGCTTTTGTTACCTAGCACAAGTCGATGAGAATAAACTCTGCTCCTGAATATGAACTCTCCACTATCTATTCTTTTCTCCAGCAAAGGACAAAATCAATCTCTGTTTCATAACTTCGGACAGATACCGAGATCACTCTCAGCTATAACCTCCTGAGATAAAACGAACTACGCCTTACCAGAATTTCTCTGGTAATTATTTCCACGGTAATAAATAAGTGCAAACCCTTTAGGAACCTTTTCTATTGCCACAAGAACTCCACCGCTCTCGTATTCTAGTAACCGAGCTGTGTCTTTAACAAACCCAAGACTCTTCTGTTTCGATATAAGCTTCACTAGTTCTCTCTGCTTCCAATGCAGATGCATATTCTCGATCACCTTGTTGAAGAAACCACGGATAACTGATGGTAGATCCATGCAAAGAGTATACAAAGGAGACATTTGTTACATTCTATTACAACCTCTCTTCACCGCAGCTATACATGAAACTAAGTTAACAAGACTCACCTAAGGGTAAGCATGACTTCATTTTCAATCCCATTTTCCGTAAATTGATTTTTTCTTCCTCAGAGATGACCTCTTGATCATAATCAGGTCCGTCTGGAATCATGGAGGCTTCTATTTTGGACAACAGTTTCTCTGCTTTTTAAATTTCGATTGAGCCTGTCACAAAACAAAAAAGGAAGTTAAGCTAAATGAATTACTATAATAGTTGCCACTTGACACCAGATATCTCACAAAAGGCTTCGAAGTTACAAATAAACAACCAGAAAACAAAAGGTCTACTTACAAGGTTTAGTTTGTGTTGGACTCGTTTCACAACTCTGGCACTTGCGACCCTTGAAGCTTATTCAATCATTTTTTCTCAACATGATCCAGAGTTATCTTTTCCCCCCCAGCGGGCTTGAGCCTCATAAAACTCGTCTAGAGTGCCAGCTTCCGCTGGTACTTTGTCTTCAACAGGCTGAGTTGCCCCAATGTCTCGATTTCTTACCCTCTCTTCAACACCTTGAATCTCTTTTGTTAGTTCTTGTCGTTCTGCCAATGTAGCTGCCACACTTGAAGGAAGGAAGACCTTTCCACGGTATATTACAATGTAATAGTTGTTTCTGAGTAGCAGGACACCCCCTGTCACTGTCTATAACAAAAAGACAAGAAATAAACGAAACTTAGCCTTCTGTCTGAAGCCACCACAGGTTCAATGAAAGCTCATACTATGATACATATGCATCGGTCTAATAATTCTTTTAGTTACCCTATTTCATTTTTGTTTAGATACTGACATCGAAGCCCAAGGAACACCCAGTGTAGAATATAGAAACACTAGGTGAGCAGGAAAAGAAAACACTTCTGGACATTTCTAAATCCCCATCTCACCACCAAGTTGTGAGGTCTCCGTCAACTTCCATAAATCCCAGTATCGATCACTAGATTTCAATACGAACATATTCCTAAATATTCATACGAAAATTAGGCTTAGGGGAATGACAGATATTATTCTGCAATGTTCTCTCAATTTGTGAATGTGTTATCTCTATAGTAACTTACTAACTTGCCCCTAAAATTTAGAAGTAGAAAAAAAGGAGACCTTTATCTCATTTGCCATAAGTTTGTTATTTGTATTCTGGATACCTCGCTTCACAGCAATCTTTGCAATCAGACTTTTTTCCCAGATTTTGAGTATAGCAGCTGCCAATCCTTGGTGATTCTTGTTCCTACCTGCAAAGTGCATATTCAAGTCTAAAACTTGGCACACGAAACATAACCCTTGGAGAAAAACTGAACTAGGAAGCAAAAACAGAAAGCATCTTACCAACAAAATGACACGGGCGTGTTTTACCAATCTTCCTGAGATTTGTCATTTCGGCATTAGTCAAATTTGATTTCATCCCAGTAGGAAGAAGCCTGAAAGGTGTTTTATAACCAGGAACTGTAGGAGGTAGTAAGTCAGCGTTAACAGCAAGCACACCAGTACCCCCACCACTCGTGAAAACATGGGCCTAAGCTGTCTAATAGACTGTTAATTTCAGCTTCTTCTTCTGTCATATTCTCCTTGCGAATCGGATTCTTTGATTTCCGGAGGTGCGTTTAGATTATCTTTAGCATTTGTTGCTTCATCCCCAGTAGAAGACAATCTGGAACAACAAGAGTTTCTTCAGGTTTGGCAATTTGATAAGAGATCGCAGAAGGTCCTTGATAGTCACTCCCACGGTAAACCACCATCACACTTGCCTGCTCTCTCTCTATATCACCACTCCACCAGTTGGACGCTGTCAATTAAAGTAAATCCAATCAGCATCTGTTGCAAAGTCTTGTACCTCCTCTCCTCTAGCTTTTACATACCGCTCGCTCATTCACCTAATTAAAAAACTACATTACTGTGACTATAACTAAGTTCCTACTTGTCTAATTAAAGAAGTATGACCATTCTAGTGCAGAGCTAAGTTGAGATTAGGTAATCTCTATTGATTAAGCCAACATTCAACAGATATTTTACCAGGAAGCAATGAAGTATGTAAAGGAACAGACCTCGACTATCTCATGAGCCGTCCTCATGTCACGAGCAAAGCACTTGATGGAACTTAAAGCCTCACAAGCTCTTCTTTCCCTCCAACTATCATTCATGAATCTTCTCCATCACTGCCAGCTTTTGGTATATTAATCCTTTTTAAGATACATTCCGTCCCTCCTCAGCCGCCGTAGCTCAGAATCCTCAACCGCAGTGACGGAGCTATAGCTCTCCTCTTCTTCACCACCACAACTCCATCTCCGTCAACTCTCTCTCTCAACCTCTCGTTCTTCCCATGCCAACCATCCTCATCGCCACTCTCTTCAACAATCTCTCTTCTCCACTCCACTCACCGGCTTCCACATTAACTCCGTCTCCCTCGTCATCAGAAGCTAAGTTCCGTATGCGATGAACGATCCTATCAATCGCGATTTGTCCTCTATCCTCCTCCGACCACCGGATGTTACCTCCGCCGTTTGGTTCGTTCGATTTCTTCTCGGGATGATCGGAAGACGGTTCCGGTGATCCAATTGGCGGTTGTTATGGCTCTTGTTGTTGCTGCTGCTACGCTCGCTCGTACGGAGCGAAGAGAATGTGACGGGAAGGGTTTCGCGTGAAGCCAAGGAGAAGAAGCGTATAGTGAAACTGAGGTCAAAGGAAGAGAGCTTCTCAGTGGCATTTTTGTAATATGCGGATAAGCTGGAAACAAAAAAACTTTACCATGCGGATAAGATTTTGTTCCTGGTTATGGGCCTAAATAATGGGCTTTTTAAAAGCCCGTTTTCTATATATATAATCGTAGATACAAACCGGTTTTGTTGCGACTCACCGGCGTTGCGTGATTCACCGGAAATTCGAAAAAAAAATCAGTGAGAGAATCTCCGATCGATTACACTTTGCTGTTTTCGTGGTTTTTTTGTTTTGTTTCCGTTGTCTTGTTGTTCTCGTGAGAAGAATAACCTAAGATGGGTCGGCCTCCAAGTAACGGAAGTCCGGCGTTCCGGTTTAACATGGCTGAGGTTATTTAAATCTTTCATCTGATATTCTCTTTTTTGTAATGTGATCTGTTCGGTACTGAATAATTGGACTTTGAGAACTAATTTGTCGGGAAGGTTTTTTTTTTTTAGGTTTGGGTCTCTTTGGGTTCATGATAGTTTTTTTTTAAAAAAAAATTAAGTTTTTATCTTGTGAAAGTATTGTAATTTATATTATGTAATGTCTAGAGGTTAGATTCATAAATGTTTACATCTCTATCTGTTATGTTGTAGTTCCCCTTTGTTGTAGGAACATTGTATTTTTTTGATGGAGGTTTTTTTTATCTTGTTTGCTTTTTGGTTAATAATAATCTTCAATGTTGATAAGGTAACGGAGATGGAAGCAATATTGTTACAGCATGATACATCAATGCCTGGTCGACATATTCTTGAAGATCTTGCTCACAAGTTTAGGTCTAGTCTCTACTCCTCCCTTCTATGCTTTATTCATTGCCCTCTTAAAATCACTCTTCTTGCGTGTTTACAATTGTTTGGCTTTCTCAGTGAATCAGTGGAGCGGAAAGGGAAGATCGTTGTGCAATTCAAACAAGTACTGTTTTCTTAAAAAAAATTCATGATTCTTAAAGTTTTTTTTTATAGACAAAGAGTTTGTCTGTTAAGAAAATATTGTTTTTTTTTTTTGTATTTTCATCACAGATCTGGAACTGGTTCCAGAATAAGAGATATGCTCTACGAAATAAAGCTCCTGGGAAGCTAAATGTATCTTCCATGCCGCGTAGTAATATGGATTTAACTAATCAGATGAGAAATGTGCTTCCACCATCAACCGCTCCTAAACCTGCTCATATCACTGGAAATCTACCCCTCATGACCACTGCTCCTTCCGGTATGCTATACTTGCAATCGAATTGGTTGAGAAGCTTATTCATTTGAATAGAGATTTCATTGGATTTTTGGAATTTGAGTTTTTTTTTATCCACAAGTCTAGTTCAGTATGGGGCATGTTTGCATAGATACCACTTTCTTAATTGTTTACTACTTATTCTCGTAGCTCCCGGTGTCATGAGGAGTGGTTCAGACAACTCTTATTTGGAATTTGAAGCCAAATCTACCAGGGATGGTGCATGGTGTGATTCCCTTGGATACTTTTCTTCAATCTCATTACATTTTCCAGAGTTTTTCCTCTAATATGTAACTCTTTTTATTTACTTACATTACAGGTATGATGTGCAATCTTTCTTAGCTTATAGAAACTTGGAGACTGGTGATCCGGTAATTCCTAACCACTTTTTACGTTTTAGTTGACAACTTTTTTTTCCCCTTCTTCATTTTGCTTATAACATATCTTTTGCTGTTGGGTATCTCAGGAAGTGCAGGTTCGATTTGCGGGTTTTGAAGTTGACGAAGTTGAATGGATAAATGTCAAGAAGCACGTAAGGCAACGGTCACTCCCATGTGAAGCATCAGAATGTGTTGCAGTTCTTGCTGGAGATCTCGTACTTTGCTTCCAGGTTAAAACTACGTTCTCTAAACATTTTGTTCAGAGATAAGTGTCGTCTAATCTAAATATATCCCTGACTGAATTTTGTTATGACATCTTCAGGAAGGCAAAGATCAAGCTCTTTACTTTGACGCCAAGGTTCTTGATGCACAAAGAAGAAGACACGATGTCAGAGGTTGTCGTTGTAGGTTCTTGGTTCGCTACAACCACGACCAGTCCGAGGTTTGACGCTCATCTCTCTTGCTGTCTCTTAACCAATTTTTAGGAACCTGAAGTTATATCCTCCTCACTCACCTATTTTGGATATATTTTCCGTTATCCCAGCAGGAAATCGTTCCCTTGAGGAAGATTTGCAGGCGGCCTGAGACAGATTACAGGCTACAGCAACTTCACAGTGCTTCCAATGACTTTGCTAACTCGATTCAGCCCCAGAAACCCGCTCCAGAAGTGGCTACAAAAACTCCTCTTTCACAATCCCCCGCCTCAGTTCCTATTGTTCCACCCGATGTGAAAGATCCGAGCTTAACCGCTGCTTCAGCCACTGCAGTTCAGCCTAGCTCCAATGCAGCCACTGTCCCCGCTGGTTCTGCATAGACCATCAGCTATATCCCCCATTTTGTGACCATATTCACAGTCACTAGCTAGAACTGTAGAGGTTAACTTGGCAAGAGCTTTTGTAAACTTACAGAATGACCAAGTCATCTAAAACTGCATCATACCGTTTTATTTAATCCTTAATGTATGATGGAATAGTTATGGTCTAGTTCAGTTTATTCATCATCTGTTGATGGTTATCAATTGAACAAACAACCATGCTTGTAACAAGTAGGTTTGTTCTTAAGCCGAGTCATTTAGATATTAACTTTAGTGGGAATAAGAGATTATTAATGTAGTGAACTAAACATAGACTATAACCATGATGTTGAAATAATATTATTCTTGTGTAGTTTTCTGTAAATTATTTCTCAGATTAGGAACAGAAAACCAGTTTTTAGGTTTTACAAATCAATTACAACTGCTTTTGTTGATACTGAATAACAATGAAAATGAAAACAAACTTACAGATGATGCTTTCTACCTTATGTAACACAAAAGGCTCACCACATTCTCTTTGAACATTTTATCCAATGCCCTACATATCTATCTATATACACCATAGATTGTTTTTGTAGGTTGATCACAAACCAACTAACACTACATTGGCGCTGTTACTCTCCTGCTATACAAACCACCTCCCGAACCTGACCCGGACCTGGAAGGTGAATGAGACGTGGCTTGAACCGGGGACGAGTTAAGAATCTCCTTACCAAGGTCTTTAATCTTGTTGATAAGCAGCGTTTGCTCTGTCTGAAGTTGGACCAAATACTCTTCTTGCTCATCCTCCAAACTCTCCAGTTCTCCCAAAGCTTCACCAAGACCTTCAAGATCTCCATCGTCTATCAAATTCTGAAACTTAATCATCACCTGCTTCATCTGGTTAGAGAGCAACAAGGCTTTGTTGAACGGAGAGCTAGAATCAGCGCTGGCTCGTCTTGGAGCCTCTGTGACTTTCCTAGTGACTCTCACACGGATCTCTCCACGTGTCACTCCTTGGAGAGGTATCCACTTGTCAGCTGTCTCGTTTGGTTTTAGCCGTTGGTATTCCACAACGCAGTTGCCAATGCTTGAAGTTGGAAGCAGTGTGTTGTGGTCTTTGACATGTAGCTCCAAGGAGCTTCCATCATCTGGAAACTCCATGGTTTGGTTCCATTTTGGATGCAATGTCTTGTAAATAACCTGAAGGCAATAACAAGAACACATATAAGTTTTGCTTCTTATGTCTCTATTGAGTTCAAAACAGTTTCTTCACGTACCTTTGTTCTCTGTTTCTTCTCTCCATACTGAACCCTGACGTAAGGATCACTGGTTCCTCTAAGGTCCGCGGCCACGAGATCCCGAGCTTCAACAAGAACCAGTTCAATCAAGCCTTTACTAGAATCCGCCTTCAAAAAAGATAAACATCATTAAGGAAAAAGAGAGGAAACAGAGTGATGTTTGCCTTCCTCATAACAAAGGAAACAGAGTGGTGACATCATCAGGAACACTTACTTCACTATACTCAGGACTAACAGCTTCAATCAAAAGCTCTATCTCTCCAGAACTAACTTCTTCAAGAGGAACCCATATATGCATCTCACTGTTACTAATCCCATGAAGACTCAACGTAGCAGTACCGATGTTATCCGTGCCAAGCATCTCTTCTCTGTAGCATTTCACCTTTAGATATTCCTCTCCAGCTAACTCCTCAAACTCAAACTTCTGGTTCCAAACACCCTCTGCCGCGTTCACTGTCTTCTGTATAGTCTATCACACAACACAAACAAGAAGCATTATCAAACAAAAATGCTCACTTTTCATGCAGAGTTATGCAGTGATTACTTACTTTCCCATACTGCAACTTGACATTAGCGTCGCATTTTCCAGTCTTGGAAACAAGATTCTTCCCTGATAAAACCGTGACGATTATCTTCCTACCGGTTTTAGAGAACAAGCTAGCCGAGCCGTCCAGTGAGTGTAGAGAACTTGAATGAACACTGTTCAAGCTATGTGAGCCATCAGAGAAGTGCCATTCTTTCAGGAGTAGACGAACAGTCAACTAAAACGATGACAACAACAGTAAGGGAGTCGAACTTGGAAAGTAAATAATACACCAATACTAACTAATACATAAACAAACTTTGGATACCTCACTGGAGCTAACACCTTCAAAGGGAACAACCATCTCAACTTCTTGACCACAAAACTCAGCGTGTTTCGCTATCACACCGTTCTCATATCCAACGGCCCAAAACATTGTAGAATCATCGTTAACATATTTGAGCTGTACATTTGAAGAGAGAAGAAACGTTCAAACGGCAAAGAAAAGTAACTACTTAGTAGTGTTATTGGTTCATTTTCATTACCTTAACTTCGCAGCTAGCGAGACTGTCGTACCTGACACTTGCAGGATTATTCTCATAGAGATTAAACTTAAGCGTCCCTGTATTGTCGTGTAAGATCATGTTAAACGTGGACTGATAAACTGGATTAGGTCCTGATCTCATCTCGGTTCTTCTAGACAGCTGTTCTAGCTCCACTTCCACGAAGGTCTGAACAGGTTTGTTGTTGCTGCTGCTACCGTTGCTACTTTCCGCAATGTCGGGACTTCTTGTGGAGAGGCTTCCCCGGAGAACGCTCCGGTGGAGATTGCTACCGGAGACGACAGTTACGTAGATGATTCCTCCCACTGCTGTTTTGTGAAGATCAGTGGCTGGTAATGAGAAACACCCTCTACGTGGCTCCACCATCTTCTTGTTCAATGTTTCCGTTAGAATCTTTACCTGCAAACAGAGAGATAATTATGGTTTTACCCTTGTTGGTGGTTAAAAAAACTAATTTATAACCAACTAGTCTTTTTGGTGGTAAAAAAAAACTTGGAGTTGACTTAATGGCATGATTAACCCCAGTCTCTTAGCCGAGGTTCTTAACTCTTGATTGATTTGATTTTTTCTTTTCACTTTTCAGCTAAGAGACGACTTTTATATCTTTTATTTAACAGACGGTTCTTAGCTTTTCTTAAATCTCTTAAACGAAGCTAAGAACTCTAGTTAAGAGACTGGGGTTAATGACGGTCTTAGATTATCTAGTAGGTGTCTAAGACTATATAGCTTCGAAGAAACTCCAAGTCATTCAAAGAATAAATACTAATTCGTATTGGACAAATGTGAGAGAAACAAACCAGCCAAGAAGAGACACCAGGAAGCTCTGTGGCGGGAAGAGATTGGCCACCACCACCACCAAAAGCAACTCCGATTCTAACTTCAGGGTTTGATACAAAGGAATAGAGCATTGCTTTTCCTTCTAAAGTTGGTCTGATCAGAATCTGCAGAATAGAAGGAAGTAAACTCACAAGTTTTTTTATGCAAGTTTAGACCAGGAATAGTTTCACTTACATCGCCTTTGATGCAAAGACTGTTGACAACGATTCTTGCTGTTCTGTTAAACGGTTTGGACAACTTGGCTTGGAGCAAGATGCTTAGATCAGTTGTGTCCCAAGTGAAATCTAACCGCAAGATTTTCTAAACCACCAGAGAAAAAAAAAGAAAGCAAAGTATTAAGTCAAAAGGCAATCTTTTTTTTTTGGGTACATTTGCAGTGAAAAGAAAAATGTAGTAAACGAACTTGTTCCCCTGATTGCGACCAACATGTTCCGTGGAGTCCCAGCAAAGGAGGACACGAGCCAAGAGAGAACTCCAATAATTGTATATTTTCTATTAGTCTTGATCTTCGTTGCCTCAACCGTTTCTGCGTTTTAGATTAAAAAAAAAAAAAAAATCAAACGTTACAATGCTTTGGAACCAATGATGAATATAAAATTAACAGGCACAAACACATGTTAGATAGTAAGATCACACAGGTAAGAATGAATCTGACCTCTACCATAGAAGAAAATCTGAGAGAGAGTTTCTTGTTCATGAAGTTTAGCCAAATTTCAGACAGTAATTTGTTCAGCCATTGGCAATGTTCCAATGGAGTTATTGTCTGCACACAAAGACAATCAAAGGACTCTTATAAAAAATGGAACAAAAATTTACAGGTAAAGAAATCCAAAACAAGGATATTAGAAATTCTCACCGAAGCATTGAAGACATTCTGCTTCCACTTCCTTGTTAGATCTTCTGCAAGTATTGCCCTTTGGTAACTCCCATACTACAAAGAAAGAACAATATGAACACAGTGAAAATTCACCAAGTTTAACATAAGAAACCTACACAAAACATTCTGGCTAGTAAATAGTAACACAAGGTAAGCTTCTACCTCACATATATAAAAAGATTTTGTAACTCGTACATGTTAAGTAACTCTTATATCTTAAGCAACTTACCATAACTAATCTCCCTAATGAGTGAAAGATCAAACACTTTTGGGTGTATAAGACAATGTTTGCAAAAGTTAGGTATAAAACAAAAAGGCATAAAGAATCTAACTTTATCTCAGGATTCTATAATATCCATTAACCATCAAATTAACCCTTTAAAGTGACAAACTAAAACAAGAAAAGACTTTTATCTATATGTAAGCTTGAATCCAGATATAAAGAAAAAAGGAAGTGACTTTTTTGGGTAGATTACCTGAAGAGAAGCCCAAACAGCTACAACAAGAGGAACCCAATTCGAGAAAGCAAAGACCCATCTCTCAATCGCCCAGAAAGCTAACACCAAAGGAACCAGCAGCAACAGAGAATGTCTCTCAGCAACTAGATGATTGAAAAACTCTCTTGCGGCTTCGATGTTTATGAGACCTTTCTTCTTTATTCTCCGAACCATCTCTTCAAATTTGCTTCTTTAAGCTTCTTCAAGGATCCATGTTCGAAATCTAAAAACCTTTCTGAGTTGAGTTTGGAATCTGAAGAGTTTTAAAATGAAAGAAAGAACTTGTCTTTATGCTCCCAACAACATTTGATTTGTTCAACAAGCTTCACAGATCCACGGTGGCTTGAGATATTTATATTTTCTTCACAAGTGGACGAAGAAGGAACAGTAAATAATCTGGGGAAGAAAAAAACTGAAAAAGTC